TTTTTTTTTTTTTTAAAGTTACAAAATAACTCCAGCAAAAAAAAAATAGTTAAGAGTTTTTCTCAGCAGAGGAAAAAACATCTAATCTCCTAGGACACTAGCAAAAAAAAAAGGAGGCAAGACGGTTGGAGGCAGGGTTATACAGGGCTGTCTTGACATTTCTTTGTTTCCCAGTATTCAAACCTCCTGAAGGCAGAGTATAAACACCAGCAGTGTTATTCACAAAAGGGTGAAGAGTTTGGAGAAGACAGGAGAAGTGAACAATCTAGGCCAACATAGCTGAACTGGAAAGTGAACTGAATTGGAGAATTTTTCCAAATCAGCTATTTTGTCCTAGATTGTTCACTTCTCCTGCCTTCTCCAAACTCTTCACCCTTTTGTGAATAACCCTGTTAATGTCCAAAAACTACTACATTCCTGTGCCCCTTAATGGATAAAAAAGGAAAATAACCCCGCAAAAGAAGAGAATACTTATTCCATTGCCTGTTGTGTGAATCCGCATCAGCAAAGCCTGTGGCAGAATTATCGCTTCACACACCTAATTAAGTCTCATGGTTGTCCCTTGCACTGTATTATTGTTCCATCCTCCACAACACAGTAGTGATGCAGAGGATGGAAACCACAGTGTGCAGGGGGGATACAGGCATCCAACAAACCCTAAAGTATGTTGGATGCCTGTATGTTAGATGTGAAGATTCAGCAGGTGGCTCTGCAAGAGAGCTTTGGAAAATGTGTAAACAGATAAAATTAGGGATGCACCAATACCATTTTTTCCAGACTGAGTATGTGTACAGAACATTTTCCTCAAGTACTCGCCGATACCAATTACCGATATCTTTTTTTCTTGTGTGTCATGTGACAGTTTTTCTAAATCAATACAGACTAATGATTTTTAGGACAGTGGTGGAGCGCCGGGGCCCAGTCCCAGCTGCAAATGCTGCACCCGTTAGTGCTGCCAAGCTGTCGGGGTACTACAAAAACCAGCAAAACATTATACAGCCATCCCCAATGGCAACCGGCTATAGAGAACTACGGATCCCAGCAATGCATTATACATTTATGCAAAATAAGGTCTCAGGTGGGCTATGCTGGGTCTCACGGGCGGCATGGTTCCACAGGAAGGAGAATCGCGGCCGTCGCTGTAAACAACAATCCATATACCCATTCCACTCCTGACCGCTTATCCATAATAAGAGCGGTTGGGTGCATCGGCAGTCGACGGATGGCTACCGTCCAGTAATACAATACAGTAAGACTTGAGGCACTTGTTCTGCCTGATGAAGGGGATTCTGCGTGACCCCGAAACGTCGCAATGAGCATGTTTTGCACGTGTGTCAATAAATAGACGTACTTCTACCTTTGGAGTGCCGGTGTCCATACTTTTTCGGCGCTGTAAACAGGCGCCGCGGTTCACAGGAAGGCTGCCGGGACCTTGCTGGGGACCTCAGCGCCTGTTTACAGCACCGGCTTCAGTTAAAAAATGTACAGTAAATACTTGTGACAATGGCGGGCATCAGTGCATCCCTAGATAAAAAATAAATGTCTATTGTAGTCTGTAGTTTTGTGTTCTAATTTTAACACTGACAAAAAGGGAGAGACAAATAAAATAAAGCATGTATTTTAAAAAAGTATGCTTGTGCTGCTATAGAAAATAAAACTGTGCAACCTTAATTCAGACAGCAGATGTTAAAAATGTGCATAACTAGCAACATATGGAACACATTAAAATGATACACAAACAGGCACCAGACATACATATTTTCTTAGTTATTACACATTAGCTGGTTAAGACAAAAAGAAAATGATAGTGACATTAACTGCTGATTATCTTATTTGCAATACAAGTTCAATTACTGCTCCAAGAGACACTTTCATATAAAGGTTTCAGATACATTTGCTACATACACTTTAACTAAAGGTGTCTCTCATGTTTAAGCAAATATTTTCACTCACCAAAGGAAAGGCTATAAGCTCTTCAGAACTCATTGTGCTCAGTTCATTCTTGGTTATATGAAAATTGGGTGGCAAGAAATACCTTAAGCAGTTCCTTAATTGGAGAAGAAAATGTCAGTCAAAATGTAGAATATCTCAGTTGCATCGGCTATATCATAACTTACTTTCTATTTTATGACCTGCATTTGTATTTTAAAAACACAGAAAGTTAAACTATCAAAAAAGGTGGCTTAAAGTAACTGTCGCATTAAAAAAAAAAAAAAAGTAACAAGCACCAATAGGAATGCCAAAAACGTAGTGCCGTACTCTAAATACTGTTGTGTGTGATTTTCTTCCAAACATTGATTGCCTTACAATGGAAAAGTTTCAGTCCCCCTACTATGAATGAATGGAGAAGGCCGATAAATCAGATTAATATACAGGGTAAGAAATTTCCTCGTAAATCCGAAAATAAATTTGGTCACGCTGGACATATACCCAGATTACTGTAGATATACCCTAAAATAATCTAAGCAATTTTAAAGTACTAAAGAAGAAATGTTAGTCAAACTGTATACAAAAGTCTGCTACAGTACTTGTATAACTCATGATTTCTACCTATTGAGAAGTTTACCCATTTCATTTTGTGCTTTCTTTCTCTAACAAAGTTGATAGTTTTTTTTATATTCAAGATGATATTGTAATAGAATGATGAATTTGTATAAACTAAAAGATACATCACAAAGTAACTTTGAAAAATGTTATACTATGAAACGTTTCTAAGGCTCTGAATTAGATATTACACAGTTTAAAATCACAGTACTAAATTGTATCCATGTACTACAAGTAACTAGGGGAAGGGAGCCTCAAAACGAGGTAAGTACATAAATCCAATCTGGAGGAAGCAGCTAGGACTATTGGCTTTCATCAAAATAGCTGTAGCTGTATAAACAGAGGAGAAGGTCTTCCAAATTTGTCTGTACCCCACCCACTAGGCGGGGGGTGTACAGTATATTTCCACAACTTTTGTGATAGCATAATAAAAGTACATGGTCTTTGCCACCTAGGACATTATGCAAGACAACTCAGAGCTTTCTGTGTACCGTGTTTCCCTGAAAATAAGACAGTCTTATTTATTTTTTTTGCCCCCCAAAAAAAAACGACACTAGGTCTTATTTTCAGGGGATGTCTTATTTTTTTTTGGTGCAGGTGCACAGTGCAGTACCGGTACCACCAAACTAGGTCTTATTTTCGGGGTAGGTCTTATATTACAGGAATCTTGAAAAATAGTGCTAGGTCTTGCTTTCGGGGTAGGTCTCATTTTCAGGGAAACACGGTTACACAAAGAGGGCCTCAGGAAATGTTAACAAAAGAGGTATTGAACTGATCATAGATGACAGCATTAAACTTACCTTAGAACTTGTGCGAGTTGTTCCACTGGTGCAAGGCTAGCACTAGGTTCAGTTGTGTCTGGTTCTATCCTGCTGTTGTCAGAGGTAGATGGTTCAGCTTGCTGTGTATCAGGTGTCTGATGTTCTGGTGAGGGTGGCCTCATAAGTCGTACGTCATCACTACCTTTCTCCACCCTAATAATGACAAATTAAAATGTTTGCAGAATTTACACTTTACTGTAAAACTGACATATTTTAGTAAGCAGCAGCCACTAAATATAAGAATATTTCCACTGCTCTGAGCAGGACAGGGCTGTCGGCTTACACCAAGTCTACTCTATGTGCTCTAAGATATGGTATATTTGTGGTGACAAGATGGTAGGTATTTTTCTTTAAGAACGTTTTTCTTTCACAGCTAATGGTCAGGGTACAGTAAAAAATGGATAGCAGTTTTGGTTATCGGAGTATATTCCCTAACTATGATATTATGAATTACAACTCAGGGTAAAATGAAAAAATTCAAAGCTCACATAAATGTATAATGAGAAAGCTGATTTGTGCAACTGACACTGACAGAATTTGCTAGTACACTGGTCTACAAAGAGAAAAGCCTCGGAAATGAAAGTAGCTACATTTTACCAGAATTGGGTCACTAATAAAGGAAAACCAAGTCCTGATTATTAATTGGCTCCAGTTTCCAAGATACAGCTTCAGGTCAAAATTGCATCAAAATAATTAAAAATCCTTCTTGTAATAATTAACTCAATACAGTTTTATCTTTTAGATTTAGTCAGAAAATTATTTTTTTTTGTGCGCTGATACTGATTTTAGTGTGTTTTATCAATTGAATTGTGTATTTTTATCGGTTTAATATTAATTTGAGAAACATTTGCGCAATTATCGCACGGCCTACAAATTTAGTATCACCAGCTTTTTATTCTACCGGGCCTGCGCTTTCAGAAAATATATGGTTTGGGGTTTTTTTTACAAACGCTAGCAACGCAGCAGTTGAAAATCAAATCAATAGGAAAAAATTGCAGAAAATTCAAAAATGGCTTGGCCAGCTGATTTGAAAAATGTTCCGGAGGGCTTGGCAGCGAAAGGGTTAATACTCAGGACTTAGTTTTCCTTTATTAGTGACCCAATATAGCAATGAGAAAGGTGCCACACCAATAAATGTATCTTTTTATTGATACCAATAACATAACTTTCCATTTATTTATTAGTTTTTTCATGTAACATTTTCATGTTTTTTTGGTTTTCATGCTTCACAGTTCAAAAGGGAAATAGTCTAAATGTGAGTGTAAGAAGTGGATTTTCAGTGCCCTGTTTGTACTAAGTGCTTTGCAGGACCAAAGCAAATTTTCCACATGTTTTTCATAGTCGTCTGCCCTCCGGAGAAACTTCGTTATCATGCACTTGGAGGCTTTCCATACCTTCCTTTCCTTGCTGCGCAACAGACAATCAAAGTTGTCATCTCAGAGAAGACGTTCTCGAATTTGTGGACCGACAAAGACGCCTTCATTGATTTTGGCTTCATACTATGTCTTGGAAACTTTTCATTGCAATATATTATATTGGAAACCTGGTTTTGTCCATAGCCTTTACAAAGTTCTTCATCAGCCCCAGCTTTATATGCAACAGTGGTAACAAGAGCTGGATTTTGAAAATGTTTCTTTCCTGGCTCCCAGGACTGTCGTGAAGGCCAGTCTTTCTTGACATAATGAGAATCTCTGGCTCGACTGTCCCATTCATAGAGGAAACAGTAGTACTTTGTGTATCCACCCTGCAAGCCAAGCAACAGGGCAACAACTTTCAAATCACCACAGAGCTGCCACTGATGTTACTCATACTTTATACACCTCAGCAGCTGTTCCATGTTTTCGTATTTTTCTTTAACGACAGGAACAGATGGGAAAACATGGTCATTGTGCAATGAATCCGCTTTTAGAGTTTTAGATGAATCTATGAACAATCTCCATTCATCTAGACTGGGAAATGTTAAGGGCTGTCATTAAGCCATCAACATAATTGCAATGAAACAAAACACATTCCACTAAGAAATACTGAATCAGATCTTTTTGGCGATCACAGAAAATGGAGATCCTGACATCACTCTGCAAGAGGTTCCACTGTTGTAATCTGGAGCCCAGTAGCTCTGCCTTACTCTTAGGCAATTCCAAATCCCTGACCAGGTCATTTTGTTCACTTTAACAAATTAGATGTGGTTCAGTAGGAGCATACGGTGGGCTAAAGTTTGGGTCCGCCGACATCGACGGCCCCGGATCAGCTGCATCCTGCTCATCGTCTGAGTCTAGAGAGTAGGATTCTGGTGGATCTGAAATAGGCAAGTCCTTACCATGAGGTACAGGACGCAGTGCGGATGGAATGTTTGGATATTCCACGGCCCACTTTCTTGAGATCCCTTTTGCAATTGGGGGAACCATGCAAAAATAGCAATCGCTACAATGATTGGTGGGTTCCCTCCACACCATTGGGACTGTGAAAGGCATGGACTTTTTCTTCCTATTTAGCCAATGAGGCAGATACGTTGCACATGTAATGCAACAATAATGAGGGGCCCAACTCTTGTCCTGATCCCCTATTCTGCATACAAAATATAGGTGGTATGTCGTTTTTACCACTGCCATCATACTGCACTTTTGAGATGCAAATGTAACGTAGATCTGACCAAGACAAATGTACCTTGCAATAAAATAATACATTACAGTTTGGTAATAAGCTTTAGTCTCAAAGTGAAGATAAATGTATACAACTTCCATGTGGTACCATTTTCACTGTTCTACCGAACTTTGCCGAGAAGTTACGAGGCATCGTAACTTCTCAGGTCTCCTCCCTCCCTTTGTTGGCAAATATACTATATAGTGAAATATCTTGAAAACTTTAACCACCTGTTTTCTAATTCATCTAATCAAAATGTTATAGTTATTGGACCTTTTCAACAAAAACACACAATAGTATCTTGCTATCGTAGCATTAACAAACTTAGACGTTGCACAGGAAACATTACCATCGATCACGTGGCGTGGTGTCTGTAGGTACATAGTCAAACTTCACCTTCCAGCGGACACCCTGTTTTCCAGCTTCTACAGTAGTCACACGTCCTGTAAACCACTCTTTGTTTACGCGCACTTCCACATGCAAGCCTTTGTCTGTGAATGAGAGTGTTATTACTAAAAAAATTAAATAAAAAGCTTCCGCTTCTAGATTTTATATGATGCCATCTTTGGCCAGGAGTCAGCATCTACTTTAACAAGACCTTTACTTAAAATCTAAGTTTGGTATGGCTAACAGCGATTCATAAATATAGTTCTATGTGGAAAAGCAATCGGGGGGGAAAAGAAATCCAAATCAGTTAGGAAAGAATCCAAATCAGAAGAGCACTTCCACACGTGACTAACATTACTAGAATAAATTCTGAGTAAATAATATTGATGGTGTATTGAGGGGGGTGGGTCTAGAAACAGAACCAATATGGTGGCTGCAATATAGCTACATACTGCTGTTGAATAGATACATAAAAGTGGGCCTAAGCAAAAGTGCAGCTACAGAATGTCTGAACATGCAAGAATGACCTTAGATCTTCACCATTTGGTTAGATATAGTAATTGTACACTTATATGCAATATTACATTATTTGACTGCAACAATGAAAAAAATAGGATTTTTTTAAAATTACCAGTAAAATCAGTTTGCTGGAGTAGAGTACAGGAAATTGTTTTAATTCACTTTAATAAGCACGTTTCTTGCTTCACACTTCTCTTGTTTACCTTTTTGTGCAGCTTTAGGAGACAGAAGCTCGTCCGCATCTGGACTGTTTGTTCGCTGCAAAGATTTCAATGACACATGAGATCCAGTCACAGTTTTTTTGCCCTGCTCAGAAAAGTTGCACATGAATTTTAAAAAGCAATACTGGCTTTTGAGAGAGCAATAATTTTAACAAACATATTATGGGTGGCCCATGCACATAAAAGCAAGCACAGTAGTGTGTGACATTTTGGACATACTGGAAAATCTTCTAGTTTGATCATCAAACCTCTTTTCTTAAAACACTGAATTTTTATATAGTCACTGCAAAATAATCTTCTCATCAAGTTCACTGGGGGATGGGACATAGCATCTAGGGAATAGGAGCATTCACCTATATTAGTTAGGATCATCTATTGGCGCATTCTGCTGTTTGGTGCACTCCTGGTCTCTTAAATGTAAGCTTAGAGCTACAAAACCACAAGCTTGTAGTTACTGCTTCAGCTCATGCAATGGTGGAAAGCTTTCACAGACAGCCAGGTTTGATTAGTTTGACACAATTTGCTTGTATTTTCAGAGTTACCCATCAGTTTTTCAGACATATTTCTTTGTCAGTCCCCAATGTAACCAAAAAAAAAAAAATATAGAAGTTTTTGTACACAATAGAAAACCCTTTTCTTGATGTCATTTGTATTTTGATGAACTTGTTATTTTGTTTGTTCCTTGCAGGTTTCCCCTTATACTGCTTTGCTACCAAAATGAAAAAGTTGTGCCAAAGGCATGAGATATCGCCCATGTGTAGGCATGTGCCAAGAGACCTTAAAAGGGGTGTTTGCTCAGGTCACAAGTAGTGATGCACCAATACCGGTTTTTCGGTATTGAGTACCGGTACTTCTATTTACCCGTACTTCCGGTAGCATAGAGCCATCTCCCCGGACAATCAGGAAGCCTGGAAGTTTTCTTGAGTGCCCGGGAAGCCGACTCCATTCTGTTTGGCTGGCTGGATGCTGATTGGCCGCGAAGCCGGCTTCCCAGCCAATCGTCATTGAGGCCGGCCAAACAGGTCTGACAATATGGTGACACGACCCCCACCCTGAAGGCACCTAATTCCCCTCACATAGATCCTTAGCATTCTTTAACATACCAGTCCCTCTGGCAGCTGAACAGACACTGCTCTCCCGGATCTGCCCACGTCTACTGTGTGTACAGCGCCCACGTGATCAGCCCTCAGCCTGCTACTGCGCATGCGCAGACTGCCCAGAGCTCTCATTCAGAAATCCTGTGCATGCGCAGTAGCAGGCTAAGGGGCGATCACGTAATCGATGTGCACACAGGAGAAGGCAGATCTGAGCTTGGAGAGCGGTGTCTGTCCAGCTGGCCAACGGACTGGTACGTTAAAGAATGCAAAGGATCTATGTGGGAATTAGGTGCCTGCACGGTGGGGGTTGTGTCACCATATTATCAGATTTGTTTGCCCGGCTCGACACCGATTGGCTGGGAAGCTGGCTTCCTGGCCAAACAGCATGGAGCCAGGTTCCCGGCTCCATATTTCCTCGAGGCACTGCCGGTCAAAGTTCCAGTATCGGAGCATTTGGGCGAGTACGAGTACTCGCCCAAATACTTGGAATTGGCACCTATATCGATACTAGTATGGGTGCATCCCTAATCACAAGATATAGCCCTGTGTCACCTAATGGATGGTAAAGAGAAAAAAAATAAAAATCAAACCTTTCATTGCACATTTACCAGCTGAATTGAAGACTGCAACAGCTCCAGCAACATGACTAGCTGATCAAGGAAAAGCAAATTTTTCATTGTGGCCTAATGTCATTCTATTAAATAATTTACCCTGCATTGTGCATTAGATGTTTCAGTATGTAAACCTACATGGATTAGCATCAGAAGGCCTACATGTGCATTTATTAAGCCATTTCTTCTTACCTTCACCTCTACTTCATTTGGCTCTTTCTTTTCCACTAGCTTTGACCGTTTAACCCTCTCGTGTTTAGGAGCTGGGACAATATCTTCATCTTCATCATCATCATCATCATCATCATCTTCTACAATTATCTGTTGAGAAGCTCTCTTTCTAATACTGGATATCTACATTCAGAGAAAGAGCATATTTTGCTAATAGGCCCAGGAGATGGATTTAAACAGTTTTTCAACAGGATGAACACTTAGTAAATATTTAAACATTTTCCAAAAATCAAATAAGTTAAATACCGAGAAATACTCCAGATACCTAGCCTGATAACCAACACATATAGCTAATTTATGTAGGCAAGCAAACATACCGAATATGCAGAAAATGGTGTGTATGCTGATGACATCACAATTTTTGAAGGAGAACATGAAAGCTGCAAACACACACTCAATCTAAAGGACAAATTATACTATATAAAAACTTGTGTGAAAAAAAAAGCCAGATTGTCTAAGTTCGGTGTCCCCTCACCTGCGACAGATGTCTTGAAACACCTGCGGATGCATAGAGCACTCTCTGGAGTCCAGACACCGACAACTGAGAAACCGGACTGGTACAGGATGTTCTACCCAAGCGGATGACCTAACAGTTATGGGGATGAAGGGATAAGTGAATCCAGAATGTTGACCAGGAGGTGAGATTCCTTAGATGACTAAGTTTCTTGCATTGAGAGAAAGTCCAGGACCCCTCCCCATCCATCTGGTTGGCATCCATCATGAGAACCTTCCAGTGGAATGGATTCCCCTGACTCCAGGATTGGACCTGTTACCCACCAGGCCAGGGCATGCCTAGTTTTAGAGTTCAGGCTCATGCGATGGTCCGGTCTTCTTGTCCCACGCAGCCAGAATGTTGAGGTGCAACAGTTTAGGGTGAAATTGGGCATACAGCTGTGCCTTGAAAGAGGTAACCATTAGCCCCAGAACCCTTATTAAAAAAATCTGAGGGTTGCTGGTCTAGATACTCTATGTCATGAGTTGGTTCTAGCGCTGACACCTGAAGGTTCACGAACCTCTGCAGAGTTTGAACAGTCTGTTGCATATTAACTGACAGAGTGTGTTGACTGTCCCCGCAACAGGAGGTCGTCCAAGTATCCCACTGCCCCTGCAGTGAAGTAGAGCAAGTACAAGAACTAGCACCTTGGTGAAGACCCGAGGTGAAGTCAATAGACCAAAAGGTAGAGCATTGAATTGGAAATGCCGAGTGCCCACTACTAAAAACACAGAAAGCGTTGCTGCTTTGTAAAGACCAGGAAATGCAAGCAGACATCTTTTATGTCCAGAGGCCACAAAGTCCTCCCAGATGGAGGGAAGCAATGACTGACCTGGTAAATTCAAAGCGGAACCTTTGTACACGAAGGAAGGTGTTGAAAACCTTTAGATCTAGAATAGGGCCAATGCTCCTTTGAGTAAAAACCCTGGAACCTTTAATTGCAACAATGGCAGGCTGCAAGCCAGAGCCTGCGAAAGAGAATAGGCCATGAAAGGGGCTTCTACTCTTATATCCATAGGGTTTTTAAACCTTAGGATTTCTATGTCATGGATCAGACAATCTAGAAAGCTGCAAAATGACCCCCAGTGGCTCTGCAGCACATTAAGAATCTTGCCAGTCGAAAATATATGGTTTGCTTCTCTCAGAGCAGAGTGCATAGGTGACAACAATGATTCAGATCCCTAACAGAGTGAAGGACAAGCTGGTTCCCAGTTGACCTAGTAAGGCCCCATTCACACCTGACCGTTTTGTAGCGCGTCCTACGCTCGATTAACGCTCTACAAAACGGTCAAAAAAATAAATAGCATTGTAGTCAATGGTATCGTTCCCACCTGTCCGTATTTCCGCCCGTCCCGAACGCACTACAAAACGGCCCGCGCATGAAAAGGTCCCGGAGCGTTTTTGCTGCGTATTGGTCCGTTTTGTAGTGCGTTTTCCATTTGGATACTGCCAAGTAGCCTTTGGAATCGCGCGACTTTTTTACCGTGATTCAACCGCGCGACAGACGCGCATATTACAATACGCATAGGTGTGAATGGGGCCTAAGTCAAAGGATTCTTCTGGAAAGGGGAAATGCTAGTTACTACTGAGGCCCTTAGCTACTCCAATGGAAGATAATTTTCCTGAGGGAAAGGGTGCTGGCCCAGGTGGGGCACAGATCAAAAAAGTCAAGTTGACGCAGGGATTGGAGCAAGGGGTCCAGGGGGTGAGAGGAACCCAAGGGGACCAGTGAAGATGCATCAGACTGTGTAGCAGCACAGGAACAAATAGAATTTTGTTCGTACCATAAAATCCTTTTCTCTGATTCCATTGAGGGACACAGCTGTGAAGAATCTGAGACATAGGGGTTGATTTACTAACCTTATAAACACCCCATGAATGTGTATACACCTCTGTAGTGTGTTCCCTCCCAGCATGATCTATGGGTGGAATCTAAACACCTTTGTAGTGTGTACACACCCAGCAGGTGTGTTGTGCAAAGCCCTGCAATTAATTGCAAGGTAATGTGGTGTAAATTAGCTCTATGTTATGTTGCTTGCGTTGATGAATGCAGGAATGTAAATGCATTAGCTAACCATTTTTGTCTAAACTGTGAAGCAGCATCATATATGCATCATGTGCATGATTTTTCCATATATGGCATTAGTGGAAATATGCTTTTAGAGACTTTTTGGTTGATAAATACGTTTTGCTGTGTGAAAATCACACACACCTGGTGCGTGCGTGTGTTTAGGTTAGTAAATCACCCCCATAGGGTTATTCCACTGCCTCTAGGAGAAATAGACCCTAGTAAAAAAATTAAAAGCCTGCCAAAATCATATCCCCTACCGCCTCACACCTGCCAGCGGTAGCAAGCAATACAATAGGAAATTAGGTTCCCTCAAAAAGATTTTATGGCTAGAACAAAAATCCTATCTTCTCCATTAGGGACACAGCTCTGAAGAATTCTGAGAAGCAGGGTTGTCCAAAAGCAGTTCAAACAGAGGGGTGGGCATGATAACTAGAACAGCTCAGCAAAAAAAGAACTGTCAAACAATAATCAAAAAGCTGCCTGAAGAACCTATCTTCCAAAACTAGCTTCAGAGGAGTCAGAAACATCACATTTATAAAACTTTGCAAAAGTGTGTACAGAAGACCATGTTGCAGCTCTACAAATGTAGGCAAATGAAGCCTGACTATGAAAGTCCCAAGAAGCACTAATGGCTCTAGTAGAATGAGTAGAAATAGGAAAGGGATCCTTATCAGGCAACTCATAAGCTTGAATTACAACCTGACAAATCCACAATAATGGATCTGGAAGCTGAACAACCTTTCTAGGACCTTCTTGTAGGACAAACAAAGAATTCATATGTCAAAAAGAAGCTGTGGCAGAAAGAAACTCCGATAGCTCGTACAACATCCAAGCATTGTTGAGAAAGAAGAGGAAGAGAAAGAGAAGAGAAATTACCTTAAGGTTGAAGAGGAGCCGAACAAAACAAAAGCTAAAACAATGTCTTCATTTAAAGGAAAGGCTGAAACCACCGTGCGAAAATAGGGAATCTTCGATCATAAGACAACCCTCGCTCCGATTACAAATCTGTCCACTTTTTGTTGTGGCAAGAAGTCCCCCAGTGCTGACAATGTTGTTAAAAAACCACTGGATGGGAAAACCACTTGCCCGGATCCAGATGTCTGCTGAGGAAGTCCGCCTGCCAGTTCCCTACTCCCAGAATGTGAATGAATCATGGAGTAAAAAATGATGACACAGAACTGCTTCGAAGGTGGACAACATAAACGCCCAGAACTCGCATGCATGACTGAAGGAAGGATAGTAGATGAGAACGAAGCAGGCGAATTTGACACTAAAACAACTTGGTTGAATTGTCCTGGGAAAGAAAAATCTTGGCCAGGGATGCATCGAAAAGAAAATCCGAGAACTCCAGGCGATGCCACGGAAACAGAGACGATTTCTTGATGTTCAGAATCCATCCCAAGGTTTGCAGTACTGTGGACACATTGGTCTCCAAGGTCAGACAAGACTGTTTGCAACGCAAAAAGTCATCTAATTATCCAATAATCGGAATGCCCTTTTTGGCAAAGAAAACCCAGAATCGTAGCAAGGACCTTGGTGAAAACCATCAGAGTCAAGGCCAGACCAGAGGGAAGGGCCACAAAATGATAATAGAGTCCGCCTACGGCAAAGTAAAGAAAACCTTGATGGATAGAAACATGTAAATATGGATCTTTGATGTTGATGGAAACCAAGAGATCTCCTAGACAATGGGAGAAAATAACTAAATGAACAGATTCCATTCAACCTCAAGTTTGAACATAAGCTTTGAGAGCTTTAAAATCCAAGATGGGACAAATTTCTCTCTGGGCAGGTTTGAGTAAAAACCCAGAAATCCTTCTGTTAAGGGGACTAGAACAATAACTTCCTGAACTAACAATCCCTGGAATGTCGAAAGGTCCACCCAACACTGCAGAAAGGCAAAGAATCCAGGAGGAAGACATACAGAGACCGTGGGGAACAAAAGTAGCCACTCTCCAGAAGGAAGGACAGTGTCAGCACCAATTCAAAGATGATTTGAGGATCTACAGCCAAGTGATACTAAATAAGATAAATTCTTCTTAATAGTTAGGGCAGGACTTTGACAAATTTGGTTTGAATCTAGGAGCCAGGTTTTTTTTTTTAAACTGACAAAGCTGTCTTTTCAACCTTTTACCACTCATCAGTTTAGTGTTATCAGTGATTAATGGCCCTAGAAATATTGCTTGCACTCAGACGTTCGCAGTGATATGCAATGTGTGGTGTAATCATTGTTTTCGCACATAGGCACATGTGCGTCAGGTGCGCATTGTGTTTTTTACTATATCTAATTGTTTAACTTTTTTTTTAACCTAACTTTATTGCTATCACATTTATTACGAACAAGCCCCCTATGTGATGGCAAAAATACAGTGACCGGTCCTCTTTATGGAAACATCAAGGGTCTATTAGACTTCTGTCACCTAGGGACCCCTAAAGAAGCTGATGAAGCAGATATCTGCTTCACCAGCTTCTTCTCTGGCTATAGAAGCCAGAAAAATGACAGCTGAAGGTGGAAGTGATATAATACACATCACTTCTGCCTTCAGAGAACGAAGAAGAGATCAGCAAGTGGAAGAATGCTGATCTTTCCTCCATTATCAGTATAGGCAGCCGTTGTGCCGGTCACAGGGGACAGTGAAGCCCGGGATAACTGGCAGCAGAGGGGGCGGCAGCAAAACGAGGGGCGCACAGTCTTTGGCACCATTCAAGCGATAATGCGGCTGTAGAGCAGAAAAAATAAATGCCATTTACTGCGCCCTGCCATTAATTACTTGTACTTACTCTGCGGTCCTATGAGGCAGGCAAATAGAAGTAATTTATGACTTTTATACAATTTAAAAATGATTACAATTTTTAAAAAAATGATAGGTTCCCATTAAGGTGACATTAGAGGTCTATCAGACCCCTACGGTCACCTTTCCACTTCAATACTTTAACTGGGTATTGGCAGCTGAATGTAAACACAGTTCCCCCTTCAGGTCCTCCTCTGCTGATTGACAGCAGGCAGTGAGTGGGTGCAATAGCCAGACTGCTAGTGCAATTTAAAAATAGCCAATAGCAGGCTGGCTTTTGCTGCCGGCCGCTGGATTGGTGGCCTGTCGCAGCCGGCAGTTTTTCTAAAGAGTGGGCAGCAGGGGCACATGATGGAGGAGGGGGCGACACGGGGGTAATACCGATTTTCAGTGGTCCCCCCCTCACAGGCTGCAACCGGCTGCCAGGGTCTGTGTCAGAGGGGGCACAGATCGCAGCATGCAACGGGGAGATCGGCTTATTTGCGGCGGGGGAGGCAGGAATTAACATTAATAACAGCTACCTTCTTCCCACCTCCCTGCTTTTCTTCCGCACTGCGCACGGGGAATAGCAGGGAAGACGAGAAAAGTGGCACACAAGTGTGGAAGGAGCCACAACAACAGCACATCCAGGACGCAATTTCTAGTTGCATTGGCAACCTGGCGCGTGGGATTTGTCGAGCCCTGAGTTAGGGTACATGAACGCATTTTTAAGTTTTAATAGAGAACTATAGCCCAACCTTTTTTGCCATAGTTCTCTTGAGGGTCACAGGACGACATATACTATCGTCCTCCTGTGACCCAAAACTCAGCATATAGCGGGCTACTGCCCGCTATATGCTGACAGCACACAGCCAAGCAGCAGCTGGGACAGATTGTGATAATATTGCCACCCCGCTGCCTGATTGACAGCTGGCACTGCCTCTTCTGTGCATTCCCCCAATCAGAGCTAGAGGAATTGAGGGGGGATCCCTGCCGGGGTCACCGCTCTCTGGAGGGAGATTTGGAACTGAGCGATCACATATCACCTAACCTAGATACTGCAGAAGGGGTAGAAACTGCAGAATCTTCTAAATTTAAAGCTGAATGCACAGCTTCATTTTAAAAGACCACAGTTTCTTTCTGTTGTTGAGACACCATAGGTGACTGAAAATTATCAGCTGGAGTAGCTTATGGTCCAAGGACCATAAAGGATTCATCATCAGATGAAGAACCTTCTTAAAGGTCTCCAGCTAAGCCAAGGGTATCCGGTAACTACTCATCCAAAGTTATAGGAGAGGAATATCTGGGGCATTTCTTATCCTTGTTAGCGGAATAAGAAAATGTTTATCTGTAATAGACAAAACCTTCGTAGCTACAGAAAGACCCAGCCTCACCTGACAGAGCTGAAGGAGACCTCAGTGGAGAAGCACTACATGTTCAGGCTTAGTAGAGGCGGAACAGAGGTTATGTAGAGACCAGCTCAAGCAGTGATGTAGAGAGTTATCCTTATTGAAGTCAAAGGAATAAAAATCCAAAAAAAAAAAAAGACTACTATAGATTGTTTAGGCTTGAGAAGACAATTATCTTCCTAGCAAATAACGGAGGCATGCTGGAAATATGAAGAGCTATCTTGGTCCAGCCTGCAATTTTTGTGTTTGCTGGTGTCCAATCTTCCCATAAGCAGTAGTATAACCCAACAGTATTAGAATTCCTGTGTCCCTCAATTGATGAGAAAGAAACCTAGATTTGATAAACAGCACAAATATCAGGCGATATAAAAATTGTAACAGCCACCACTATATTGTACAGGGTTTCTGCTTTCAGAAAATGTATAATGTTTTGGGGGCTTCAAGTAATGTCCAGGCCAAAAATGTGCATTTTAAAATGCAAAAAAGGCAGCAAAAGTGTTAAAAACAAACAGTAAGTGTAGCCTTACCACAGAGCTTTTACTTGGAGCAGGTTTCTTTGCTGGCAGGGACTTAAAAGATTTCAAGTTGGACAAAAGTGTGGGTTTTGAAGAACGAGCAGTTTGTGGAACACTAGGTTTTGATATGGATTGTGCAGCTTTCACAGTTGGTACTGTTTTGTTAACGTTCTTAGTAGTGTTGTAAGTTTTGACGGCAGTAATAGATGCCGGCTGAGCTCTTGATGTGCTAGCCCTTTCACTGTTCAGCACTCGTGATGATTCAGTTTTCTTTACTGCACTGCTACTTCGTGGTGATGGAGTTGGAGGTGGTAGAACTTTCAATACTGCTGGCAGAGGTGGTGATTTTGGTCGTAGTGAACGACTTGATGGCACAGGCGGCTACACAAGAATAGGAAACATGGTTAGAAGTGAATAAAGCAGACATAAAAAAAACAAAAAAAAAACTACTGAATGTTATTAACCTCTGCTGGACGTGTGCTAACTTCCAAAGGGAGCTTTTTCAGGTCTGCACTTGAACGCACCGTTGACAATTTCTGTAGTTAGAATTCAAATGTAACACACGTTAGTAATTATTACAACTTAGTGAATAGAAGAGATTTGTTTTCAGTTAAAAACAAGAATATTGTGGCTTACTTACATCAACAAGAATCTTATGGCTTAATTATTGATCATTATGAAGAATAAGTCATGTTATAGTTTACGGAGCTAACCCTTAAATTCTTTATATGTGTAGTTTGTTGATTGCAGTTTTACACTGTCAAGATACGGAGTGGAAAACCTCTTTATTCTTGATACATTTATGATTGGAGGGGATTGCAAAACTGTAATACCACCAATCAACACTTTGCAGTCTTACCACAAAATGCTCTGGTGCTACTACATTGACTTGGCACGTTTAAGTACAGTGGAGCTCTAACTTTGTGATTTCACTTCTTTCAAATGCTTTCCAAGGCTCTGAAAAATGTCAAGCAGCTCCTAGATCAACACAGATTGACATCTGCTTGCAGAAGGACTGAAAACAGATAATCAGTGGGAGTATAAGTGCGTATAGAGTGCAGGAGCGTTTCCATCAAATAGTCTTGATGCGGAAAACGCTTTCAAACTGTTAAAAAGGTAAACGTTTAGAATATTAAATTAACTACTACTTGCCCCCCGCCTTTTTCTCCCTAAATCCCCTCGAGTCCCAGAGAGTTGTTTTCATTTTAGCAATATCTCGCCTGCACACATTATGGGGGGAATTTATCGAAAATGGAGCAGACAAAATCTAGAGCAGATGTGCACTGCAACCAATCAGCTTCTCATTTTCAAATCTTACCTCAGCAAACTGCAAAAGAGATGCCGATTGGTTGCCCTGGGCAACTGCTCCAGATTCTGCCTGCTCCAGTTTTGATAAAAATCCCCCCTATATCTTTTAAGTTTTCAGACTACCCTAATATACATAATTTTTGTGGGACAGATAGGGCTTTGCTTGAATACATAAATATTTACTCTGTTTTTAACGTGAATAAACTGTGAGACTCCTAATGTCACCTAGGGACCCCCCAAAGAAGCTGATGAGGCAGAGACCTGCTTTGCCAGCTTCTCTCCGGCATCTGTAGCCGCAGAATGACAGCTGAATATGGAAGTGATGTAATATACATCATTCCTGCATCCCAGAGAATGGGGAGGAGGGCGATCATGTGCTGAACTCCCTCCAATCTCTGTTCACAGAGCCTCTGTGCCGGTCCCGGGCCTGCACAGGGCACAGCAGAGCCCGTAATCGGCGGAGGTTGTATGTGAACATCCATTGCTGGCTGTTTCACATAATGAGTTTCCCACTTGTGCAAGGTGGCACACATGAGCGGGTAATGTGGTTAAGAGAAGATTAAGTTGGGCTAAGAGAAGAGAAGAAACTAGCATGACAGGGACATTTTTTATAGGTTTGCAACTGCTTAATATTCAAATTAAATTGTTTTTACGTGAGCATTTGGTGCCATGATCTGCTGTTGTAGTGAGTGGCTGGACAGAGCTGCAACAAGCCTGCATACTGACAGCAAGTGCAATGGCGTCACTACTCTACCAACAACACTACTATGTAGAAGCACAGGGTTTACATTTCCCTTCTGCAGCACTCGCCTATGGAGCAAACCATAAAAGCATGAGCAGCTTCAGCCTAAACTCCCAAAAGGACCTGGAGGAGCCTGTTTCCCAGTGCTGTTTTAAAACGGTACTAGTACAAATAGTCGCTCTCCCAGCGGTGTTTTGAAAATGCACTTGGGATTCAAGTGGTTAATAAGCCCGACATTGTATGGTTGTACAAAATCCTAATTTCATTGGATGAACACAGCTTATTATTATGCTCCTATAGTGATCACCTCTAGAGCTTCCAGCTTCTCCTGCTGCTGTTTGATCTTTTCACTTAGCTGCTTCTTCTTGTCATCTTGCGTCACAGCTTCTTTTTTAAGGACTCCAACAGGAAGTTTTTGTTTTAACTCAGGGGCTTCACATCTGCAAAAAAGACAGGGATATTACTAACTAGTGAACAAACTTTTCCTCATTCCACTACCAACACTACAAATTACTCAAACCTGAACAGAACTAAAAGCCTAGATGCTCCCTGCTTGTGTGGGTTTCCTCTAGGGCTGCAACGAATGATTATATTCTTGGTTAGTTGGCCGATTATTTTTTTTAATTATTGGATAAAAAAAAAATACCATCCTTAAATTAAAGAAATACACAAATGCAGTGTTACAAACAAAGTTTACTTCAGAATGAACTGCATGCACAATTTTTTGCAATCACCCTGCACTGGAACGCATGGCATTACGGTACAGTGCGTTCCAGTGTGGGCAATCACACGGTGGGTGGGAGGCGCGTTTGGGGTGCCATTGAAATGAATAACACCGCAACGCACCTCATGCAGCAGAATTTGTCAGGCCGAAACCGAAAATGACTTTTTTCCCACCTTTTATATTTATATATGTTTTAATAATTGTATTGCAAGCACATGGCGCTTGAATAGCTTCAGCCAGGGAATGACAGCTGCCAGTGGCAAGATTCTGCAGACTGCAGCTGAATGTAAATAGAGCAGGTAGTGGGCTGGTGCAAGAACCAGCCTGCTATAGGCCATTTCAAATCGCAATAGCCAATAGCAGGCTTGCTATTGCACACGCCCACAGCTTGCTTTGCCCTCCTCCCGGCGTGGAGGAGAGAGCTAGGTGATCCAACCAATAGATAAATGAGAATAGTTGACAACTAATTTCCTTATCGATTAACCCTTTCGCTGCCAAGCCCTCCTGAACATTTTTCAAATCAGCTGGCCAAGCCATTTTTGAATTTTCTGCAATTTTTTCCTATTGATTTGATTTTCAACTGCTGCGTTGCTAGCGTTTGTAAAAGACCCCCCAAACCATATATTTTCTGAAAGCGCAGGCCTGGTAGAATAAAAAGCTGGTGATACTAAATTTGTAGGCCCTGCGATAATTGCGCAAATGTTTCTCAAATTAATATTAAACCGATAAAAATACACAATTCACAGGGCCATCCTGAATTGCGGCCAGCCGCCGCTCGTTCCCGGGACCCCCCCGACGGTGATTTTTGTACGGATCCCCGCGGCCACAGACCCTACAAGCAGTGGGGATCCATGGAGTCTCTCACCCCTCCCTGGGGGTGGGGGAGGGTTGGGCGCCCGGTATTTTTGATAATAGCAGTCATCAGCGGCTTGTGAGCCGCTGATGACAGCTATTAATTTAAAGGGGACAGTCTGCTGAACAGTTATACTATAAGCTGATGTTAGCTAAAGCCACCATCAGCTTATAGTAGAACTGTAAATGCCAGGTCCGTATGGCATACTGACCTGGCCAGCTGGAAGCACTTTTGTAGGTCCGTATGACATACGTCCTTGGCACTTTATTGAACCTGTCACCTTCAATAAAGAAGATCTAGCACAGCTGGATCTCCTGTGACAGCTGAGATGGGAAGGCTGTGAATACAGCGTTCCTGTCTCACTGTTAACACGGAGCAGTTCAAAGAAGGGACGTTCTCCACTGTGCTCCCTGCTCTCCATCCTGAACTAATCTGCTGTGCCCCAGGGCGGGAAGAGAGGCAGCCAGCGTTGGGGTCGGGCCATGGAGGGGCGGTGGACCAGCAGGCTGCATACATGTATTCTCGGCTGCATTGCACAGATCACTTATACTAAACGAGCGGCGGCTTTTCCACTCTACATTTGAAGCAGGGCTAAATGTAGAAAAAAAAATTACCTGCTCGGCGTCCGAAACTGCATGTCCTGGTCGTCGGGCAATATGAATTTGACATCCCTGCCTAGGCTCTTGCGCCACCAAAGCAAAGGGGCTTCTGTGGCACACAAGGCTGTATTATTCTGTGCTTTACCAAGTACATACCATAGCAGTTGTCAGACTCCAGCTAACCTACCATTATGTTTTGTGTTGTGGGAGGAAACTAGGGCTGCAACCAACTAATCAATTAATCGATAATGAAATTAGTTGGCAACTATTCTCATTTATCTATTGGTTGGATCACCTAGCTCTCTCCTCCACGCCGGGAGGAGGCCAAAGCAAGCTGTGGGCGTGTGCAATAGCAAGCCTGCTATTGGCTATTGCGATTTGAAATGGCCTATAGCAGGCTTGTTATTGCACCAGCCCACTACCTGCTCTATTTACATTCAGCTGCGGTCTGCAGAATCTTGCCACTGGCAGCTGTCATTGCCTGGCTGAAGCTATTCAAGCGCCATGTGCTTGCAATACAATTATTAAAAAATATATAAATATAAAAGGTGGGAAAAAAGTCATTTTCGGTTTCGGCCTGACAAATTCTGCTGCATGAGGTGCGTTGCGGTGTTATTCATTTCAATGGCACCCCAAACGCGCCTCCCACCCACCGTGTGATTGCCCGCACTGGAACGCACTGTACCGTAATGCCATGCGTTCCAGTGCAGGGTGATTGCAAAAAATTGTGCATGCAGTTCATTCTGAAGTAAACTTTGTTTGTAACACTGCATCAGCTGAATTCAATGCATGCTTACAAGATCTAAATCTATATATATATATATATATTTGGCTCATCAATTAAGGATGTCACTGGACTTGTTTTATTTTTGCAATTGTGTATTTCATCCGATACTTCGTTATTTGTTCTTTTCTCTTAAATTAAAACACTACTCCAAGAACAGCCCCTATTAGCACAAGGTGACAAAGTTCCTAAACACTTGGTATACATCCGTGAGTTTACTTAGTTGTTTCATCAGTATTGGTTTCACTATGTGACCAATGCGTCATCAAACTTTTATCCTTGGATAATCTTCACAGGTGTTTAGTCAGTGGCCATCTAATACCCTTTTACTAGGGCTGCAGGCCATCAATTTTTCCCGACAATTACACCACCACACAGTCTCTAATGTGAATTTATCATCCAGCTAGTTTTCAGGTAAGATGCATGTTTTATTCACAGATCTTCAGTATAGGTCTTGCAATTACCGATAACCATAGATGGAAAAACTTCTGCATGCAAGGTCTGTAGCAGCACTGCTTAAGAGTGTGATATTCCGTTTCTGGCTAGGACTGCCATAGTGGATGGCATTCCTCTAGCGTGACGAGGTGGAGATGAGCAGATGCAGAAACAGACAACAGATACCACTTTCACTTTAGGGGCAATTTACAGAACTGAGTCGAAATTTTTAAAATTCTCCTTTTCCAGGACATTGGCTATGACCTCTTGAGAAAGCAGCTGTGCTAGATTTGTGTGAAGGCCTGCCAGTCTTTGAGGGGAAGTTGTTAAGTTTGACAACATGAAGCTGGGTGGAGGCAGAGACTAAAATTAGTTTGTAGCCCCTGGATATGTTCTGGACCAAAATGTCTGATTGCCTTCTACCTGGAGGGCCGAGAGAAACAAAAGGAACAGGATTTCCCAGATGAAGATATAGCCTTCATTTTCTGGAGCAAAAGGGTACTCTTCCCCTCCGGTGACCTTCTTGATGAACTTGTCCAGAGATTTGCCAAAAATACATTATTCCCCAGCACAGGGCATACACAAGAGATGCATCTAGCACTGATGCTCTATGTACTAAGAGGAGAACCATTCTTGGATATTTGGCATGAGCTCCAGTTGCTGGAGGATAGAAGGACCTGTCAGAATACATCCAGGGTCCTGAGATATAGTCCAGGAACAGACTGCTAAGGCCTGGCAGATGGGCATGGCCACAATGGCAGGTTGCAGAGCAGGACCTGCAAGGTAAAATAAGGCCCCTCAATGGGCTTATATCCTTTTATCCATGGGATCATTAAATGAGGGGATGTCCTCAACATGGGCAGTCAGCTTTGTTAAGGAAAAGGCTGGGTCCACAACAGGAACATGCTTAAGAGCAGCAAAGACATTTTTCCAGTTAGGCCAGTCACTATACAGGATCAGATGCATTAGGGAATACACTGGAAAAGTCTTGATGGGTTGAGGGCTCTTTAGATAACCCAGGTTAGTCATTAAGGGTAGCTAGCGCAGACAGCTCCAAATCAAGATATGTTGCAGATCTAGTAGAATGTGCCTTAACGGAAGAAAGCAGAGCCCTGCCGACCAAATCAATTAGCACAATGACCTGTTGAATCAGAGAAATGGTGGAATGAGAGAGGAGCCCACTGCGAGGTCTGCCAAGAAAGACAATGAGGAAATCAGATTTTCTGAAAGAAACTGTAGCAGAAAGGCTAAACCACATCTTAACAGTGTTTTGGAGCAGGACAAAAAGAAAGGAAGAACAAACTCTGGATGACAGTACAAAGACACCACCAGGCAAAAAAGAATCTCTATGCCAGAGAACAAGCCAATCCTTGTGAAGGAAAAAGAAAACCCCAGTTCCATGCACGACCATTGCTGATCCAATCCCAACTCAGAACACGTATTGAGTATTTGAGTATTTCGGAGGATTACATTAATATTTTTCACACTAGGCAAAGTAAGCCCACCAGGTGTGATGGTAAACCTTGCAAAAGGTGGCTTTTCTGGCATGCAGGAGTGTAGGAAAGACTGACTATATTCATATTCCCAGGGCTTCAACAGACAAGCTGTCAAATTCAGGGACTGAGAAGCTGGATGGAGCTCCTGGGCAAAGTCCAGGAGCAGCCAAGGAGAGACTGCAAGATCCTGGAGGATTTTGGCATACCACACACACTTCTGGGCCAGTTGGGAGCCACAGCATAAGCAAAATGCCCAAAACACCTCGGTAGGCAGATGCAGGTAGGCATCCTTATTGCTTACTGGAACTAGGAAATCGCACCCCATCTACAGAGCCTTTTTAGGTGAAAGAGGGCAAAATGGAAGGCATACAATGAGGAGAGGGGTAGGAATGAAATTCTAGTTGTGAACATGGGAAGTGACAGACTAAACCCAATAATCTTGGACTTCAAGTCCAAACAGCCACAAAAGGCCGATGGAACTTCCCCCCACTTGGTGAAGTGGGGATGCCATATCACTGTAGGAAAGGCTTGGTCTGCTTAGAAGTGCCAGCCTTGCATTCGAACTGGGTTATGAGTGCGGTAGGTGACAGAGGGGCAAAAGGAGCTCTTCCTGCATATGGTAGAGGCAGGCTTACCCAAAGGAGCCTTAGGCTTCCACTTGCTGGGTAAGAGGACACTCCTTGTTGATTAAAGCAGCCAGGTACTCTCTGGAGAGACTTGTTCCAGCGAAGGGAATTCTCCCAAAAAGGCATTTCTTTCACAATAGCTCTGTCAACCGATGTTTGAGCCACAAAAGCCTTTGTATCCGGACCAACATAAGGCCCAGTCTAAAGAGCCGAGTGTGGAGCCAACTTATCCACACAGTAGAAGAGAGCCACAGGCAAGACCAAAGGATCTGCCATGATGGAGCCTGGATCATGAGCCATACATTTTATCCAGACCGACAAGGTCTGATACATCTCCATAGGAGCCACTGCTGGCTGTAGGGCAAGTTCATTAAGAGCAAAAAAAGGCCTTAAACAAGCTTGCAGGGTTGCTTCTATACCATATTCTTAAAGGCCAGGATGTCCTCCACCGGCAGTTTAAGTTAAGAAATCGTGGCATCAACCCCTAGCACCAAAGTGCTTTGGTGGAACAAACAACTTCTCAGGATGCCGCTAATCCACATCTAGCACTTCCTCCACCAAGAAGTGTGTAGGGAAGGTCTTCACGGGCTTCTTTTTCTTAAAATACTGGGTGACGTTTGGGCAAGCCTGCACAGGTTGGTCAATGGCCAGACATTCTCCACCTCATCAATGAGCACCGGAAATGTTGTTATGCATTTTAGGCAATTGAGAGGAAACCTGTTTCAGGAGGTAGGAACCGCCACCTCCATTTATTCCTCCACTAGCCATGGCTGTCCCCAATAGTGAGTCAAAAGGGGAAGGAGGACTGAACTTCTGCCCTATGTGGCCTGAAGCCTCAAAAATAGCAGAAGTATGTCGCAAAAAAAAGAAAATTCCTCCTTGCTAAGGCAGGAGGAATGAGGGAGACCTGGTGAGGCAACTAATTAGTCAGATGAGGGCAGCGGGTCTGAAGATAGGCAAACAGGCAGATTTCCTTGGAAAACTTTTGATACCCCCTACGCCCACCAGTAGCTGTAGAGCTGGAAATTCTCTTTCCTCCCAGACCCCTACCGATTTGCATCCGCCATAATAGAGTAGGGCGCCTCCAGAGCGCACACTGCAGCTAACCAACCACTCAGTTCCAAAAGTGCCCACCCCCAGTTCTTGTGTGGGTCCCTATGCCTCTCCACATGGAGGAGTCACAATATGGCCACCCACACTGCACAAGCCTAGTGCTGTTTTGGTGCACCATGATGAATGTGGCATACTGTGCAGGCATGTGGCTGCCAAGGTGGGCACCTAACAAAGGATCCAGTGTCCCAAAGCAATAGTTCAGGCCTGCCCCACACCTACCATCTGGCAGGGTCCAGTTACAGTCCCCAAATCTGTTGCCACCTTGGCTGGATGTAGAAAGAGAATGTTTGCTTGAAAACTCACAGGGAAAAAAAGGTAAGCAAACAAACATCTCCACCAAGTAGAGATGAGGTGCCCATCACCTTGAGGATTTCTGGGACTGGGAGGAGTGATACGAAGGTCCTCACATCTCTGGCCAGTGTCCAATGACCTGACTATACCTGCATATTACCCTGTTTCCAAATCTGCACTTGTACTGTACAATCAAGAAAAATCTTTGTGGCTTTAGGAGCTTTAAATGAGCCAAGCCTGGAAACAGCACTGATAGAAGTAACAAGCTGATCCTCTACTCCCAGAGTGGCACCTACAGATTCTCTTAATTTGAGAGTGATAGCAGTGGATTGGATTTCCTCAGGGACAAGCTCATTTGCCAAAGACTCAGCGGCCAAAGTCTCAGAAGCTGCCAAGGCTGTGGGTAAATCAGAGAATCTGCAGTGCAGAGGAAGTCGTGGGAGTCCACTTGTGGCCTCTGCGGTTAGAGTCAGCAAAAACTGGGTGATTTGGGCCATAAAGTCTTGCACGACTGTTATAAAAACCTCAGACAAAAGGACAGAGGAACCAGTCACACATGACAAAGTTAAACTGGACTAACGGAACAGACTCTAGGAGCCAAGGGCATCACGATTCCATGCAACAGATGTCGGCAACATCAGCAGGCGCATGGTAAGCAGCCCAAGAATCATTAATAGAGTAGAGCTCTATGGTACAGCACAATGTAATTTTCCCCCTTCCGATCAAAGTTTAGACTTCCACGTGGCTCTTTGCAAGTAGAAGCAATAGCAGGAGCATGCCACCTCGTAGGTGTATGGCAGGAGAGCGCGAGCACGCACAATACTATACCTAACTGACCCCTACCACGAGGTGGAAACCCCACAAGAACTGGGGAGTTTTAAAAGTGAGTTGGCTAGTGGAGCCGAGCACCAGGAGCTTCCTTATTTACTAAGGGAGTCTTTAGACACGATGCAAGCATTGAGACAAGGCCAGGGGCTCTGGACCTCAAAAGTATTTTGTGGATAACTTTTACCAGTAATCGAATATTGAAGGCACCCTATATGAAACGCAATGCTTGAAGGTCACTATTGAGTCTAACAGGGTCTGAAGACCGCATTCCAAAAGCCAGACTGAGGAACATTGTGCTGGATAGCTGCGAGCATGGATGCAAGACTCCAGCAGCGATTTAGAGAAGAATGAAGAAAAAAAAAAACCCACAAAAAACAAAAAGATGCTAGCAATAAAAAAAATTACATAAAATGAGGCATACTAGTGATAGGCGTGGTTATTCTGGGCTGGCCTACAGTTTGCCAGCGTCCAATCCTCCAGTAGGCTAAAACAGTATAACCTGAAGTTGAAAGACTTCCCGTGTCACTCAATGGACAAAAATAAAAAAAACTAACATTCACAGGGAAACTTTTTAGATATACTGTGTAGTGCCTTTGTAGGTAATTTTAAAAGTATAACACAAAAGCACATTTTAGGTATGTACATACTTATCCTGTTCCACATCAGGATTCATAGAGCAGACCCATGTATTAGGATATTCCTTATCCACAGCACTCAACTGGAATGGAAGCGTGCGCCACTTCAAACACAAGTCTGCAAATAACAAAGCATAATTACGAAGAAAATAAAAAGCTAGTGATTAATTGATATAATGGGCACACACATATGGTTTATGCTTGAGGGTCATAAAAAAAACACTAGCTTCAAAAAGCATGTTGCTAATCGAAAATGACAGCAAGCTTAAAGTGAAGGACCCTCATAGTGATAAGGCCTTGTAGAAAGACATACAGGGTTATTCACATATGGGAGAAGAGTTTGGAGAAGGCAGGAGAAGTGAACAATCTAGGTCTAGGACAGCATAGCTGAACCGGAAAGTGATCAGCTATTTTGGCCTCGATTGTTCACTTCTCCTGCCTTCGCCAAACTCTTCACCCTTTTGTGAATAACCCTGTATGTCTTTCTACAAGGCCTGATCACTGTGAGGGTGCTCAGAAAAAAATCCCTCAATTTAGCCCTGTTGCCAACAATTTGTTTGTTATGCTGTGTGAATAGGAACCGATAACAAAAGATACTAAGGGACTTTCTCAATTCTGACTGCAAAAGTGGAAATACACTTCAACCCTTTCTCTGCATAACACTTTTGACCTCAGCTGTCCAGACCATTTTTGCAATTTTTCACTTTTTACCACAGCTTTCAGAGTTTGTAAAAGACCCCCCAAAACCATATCTTTTCTGAAAGTAGAGGACCAGTACAAAAGATGGTGCTACTAATTTCGTAGGTCCTACCAGTTGCGCAAATGTTTATCAAATCAATATTTTCAATAAACAAACTAAAATCATCAACACACAAAAACACAATGTACAAGATTCCTACTTAATTAAAAAGATACAACTATATTGAGTTTATAAATAAATATTTGTAAATTTTACAATGCGCAAAAGACGAAGGAATGCAAAACTGTAAACAAGCAACTTATGCTAAAGATGTGGAGGTTGGCCTCACACTTATGTGCTTTGGTAGCGTGTGATCGTAGTGCCATTTGTGCGCTGAATTGGTGCAAGTTGTGAAAAAATTATGCAGGCATACATTTATCGCACCGCAGTATATTACAACGCATGGCAATGAGTCACAATGCTTTGTCATGTGTGGCCACACACGGTTGAATGAATGTTATGTAGAGCACTCCCTGTTCATTCATAACGGGGTACATAGCAAGTTTTTACTATCGCCTCAGTTATTTACAAATATCAGAGAGATCAGTACAGAGAAGAGTTGGTAAATATTAAGATATATTTACCGATCCTAGGCTCTCCATCCTGAAGCTCCCGCCAGCACTGCACTGCATCCTGTTAATTCTCCCCTCCCCGCCGGCCACAGCGATCATTGACCCCTCAATTAACAGCTGTCAGTGGCTTGTTAGCTGCTGATCACAACTATTCATTTACAGAAAACCATCAGAGGAAGCCTTCTACTATAAGCTTATTGTGGCTTTAGTGACCATGAGCTTATAGCAGAAGGGGGAATGTCAGCAATGTAAGGCATACCGAGCTGGCCAGCTGGAAGCGTTTTTGTGCTACTGTATGCTTTATGTCGTTGACAGGGAAAAGGGTTAAACAATTCTGCTACTAGTCAGGCACATATAAACACAATTATACAAACATCTGATTGATTGTCCAGAAATCTCATTGTTAGAAATTTTCAGAAAATCTTCTTTTGGCAAAAAATAGCTGATTAGATAACTGTAAGCTTTACTGTTAGCTTTGTAGCAAAATTCAGATACAATCCCACAATCTTGAGTATTACATGTATATCAGTATTGTTTACAACAGTAACTGTTATACAGGAACATTACAGATTTCTTTACTGGCAAGTGCCTTAGGCCTTATTCACACCAAATGCAGAGCAGATCTGCATGAGTTTCTGCACACGCAGTGCAGTGGGTTGTGCCGCAATTTAAATGCGTTCCGGGGCGTTTTTGGAAAAAAAAACAAAAAACTGAAAATGTTTTTTTTTTAAAATGGGCTTTCATAGTTACATAGTATTTGAGGTTGAATAAAGACATTAGTCCATCAAGTCCAACCTATTAGGATCTCATTCTAGGAGTACCTGTACCCCTGTATATTACGGTCCCTTAAGAAATCGTCCAAAAGTTTCTTGAACAATTCCACATTATTTGCTGAAATCACCGCCTGTGGCAGTGAGTTCCAGACCCTAACATAACGGGGTACATAGCAAGTTTTTACTATCGCCTCAGTTATTTACAAATATCAGAGAGATCAGTACAGAGAAGAGTTGGTAAATATTAAGATATATTTACCGATCCTAGGCTCTCCATCCTGAAGCTCCCGCCAGCACTGCACTGCATCCTGTTAATTCTCCCCTCCCCGCCGGCCACAGCGATCATTGACCCCTCAATTAACAGCTGTCAGTGGCTTGTTAGCTGCTGATCACAACTATTCATTTACAGAAAACCATCAGAGGAAGCCTTCTACTATAAGCTTATTGTGGCTTTAGTGACCATGAGCTTATAGCAGAAGGGGGAATGTCAGCAATGTAAGGCATACCGAGCTGGCCAGCTGGAAGCGTTTTTGTGCTACTGTATGCTTTATGTCGTTGACAGGGAAAAGGGTTAAACAATTCTGCTACTAGTCAGGCACATATAAACACAATTATACAAACATCTGATTGATTGTCCAGAAATCTCATTGTTAGAAATTTTCAGAAAATCTTCTTTTGGCAAAAAATAGCTGATTAGATAACTGTAAGCTTTACTGTTAGCTTTGTAGCAAAATTCAGATACAATCCCACAATCTTGAGTATTACATGTATATCAGTATTGTTTACAACAGTAACTGTTATACAGGAACATTACAGATTTCTTTACTGGCAAGTGCCTTAGGCCTTATTCACACCAAATGCAGAGCAGATCTGCATGAGTTTCTGCACACGCAGTGCAGTGGGTTGTGCCGCAATTTAAATGCGTTCCGGGGCGTTTTTGGAAAAAAAAAAAAAAAACTGAAAATGTTTTTTTTTTAAAATGGGCTTTCATTGCATTCCAGACGTTTGCATGCATTTTTGATGCGTTCCAAAGCAGGTCTAGAGCAGGTAAAAAATAGGGCCTGCTGCAGTTTTTTTTACCTGCTCTGGAACTGAACTGGAGCTAAAAATACCATTGGACGCAGTTTTGCTCTGGTCTGTAACTGCTCTGCTCTTGGAACGTGCTTGGTGTGAACAAGGCTTTATTATATCAGACATAAAAGTCTGAGAAGCAGTATTTCCTTTCAAACAAAATTTCTGTCATGTAAGAAACTCTACAGCAGTAACAATGTGGCACTCTAACGTGAAAACTGCGATACCAGAGAAGATTATGCCCAAATACAACTTACTGTTATTACAAAGATTTATAGAAACCTTAGCAAATAAAGACGCAACTACACATACATTGTACCATAAGGAATGTGGTGTAATATCACAATATAACAAAAACCCAAAGTGCTCCTTACCACACTGAATAGTGGTTGGGATCTCCATTGCTCGCCTTCTTTTATATCTCAACTCTAATGATGGAGGCTGATTCCAGCTTGCTGAAATATAGCCAAACTCATCCCAGAATTTTGAAATTCCCTTCTGAGCTATGGGGAGAAAATAAAATCAGACAATTGTATTCAAAATCCATGAATGAATACAAGAGCAATACAAATCAATACGCCTGAAATGAACCAAAACATTAGGGAAAGGTTTTACCTTTCTGCACGTTTGACACCTTTAACAATACGGTTACATTTTTTTTATGATAAACAATCCTAATAAAATCAATCTTTAGCAGTGTGAGGTCACCAAAAATTCACCAATATAAGGTGTAGTCATAAGGGTCTAAAGGTCTATGCAAAGTATTTTTATTAGCTGTATTTAGGTGAAAATAACTTTGTGGCTGGAGAACACGACCTCTACAAATAACATTCAGCTATTCCTTACTTTAGAAAAAGAACTTACCTATGGCAATATCTTTCCAGTATTGTGCCAAGTGCTCTCCCATAGATTTCAGAAGGTGTTTGTACTCCTTCGCATCTGCAAAGTCCTGTTTGTTGTGTGTAGGTTCCAGGACAAGATAGGGGACATCAACTACTCCCACTACTCCTCCACAGGCCCTAGAGGGAAAGGTGCCATAACATACAAATTTAATAGAGGAAATGCACCACTCACAGCTGTGATAGAAAAAAACACACACACACAAACTGCTTTCTTGTGTCGACCAAGAAAAAAATGGTATTTGGAAGTTACTTAGACAGCTACTAAATTACACACAAGTGTTCGGTAGCAGTTTAAGTAACTAAAAATCACTCAAAACCTTCTTAAAGGAGAACTATGGGGTCAGTGTTTTTCCCTATAGTTCTCCTTAGGGTAACGGGAGGACACAAACTGGCGTCCTCCCGTTACCCTAAGCTCAGTATACCACGAGCTACAGCTCGCGGTATACTGAGATGCCGCAGCGGATCCCGACCTGGACATCGGGATCCGCCCAGCTGCGTGACAGCTGGCTCTGCCTATCTAGAGGCAGTGCCAGCTGTACCCGCCCCTTCCCCAGTCCGTTCTGCCAGTCAGATCGGAGCGGGGAATGCAGCCCCTCCCCCTGTCACGGCAGAGAGCCGTGACAGGATCGAGAGGTGAGCGAACCCGGTATGTGTTCGCTCACCTCCCGATCTACTGAGCCGACCTGTGACAGTCTCATTGTAACAGGTCGGCTAGAACTATGAGGTGAGTCGAAATCACTCATCTCATAGTTCTCCTTTAAAAATTCATAGATCATCACTGCTCCCTTAAACGTTAATTAGCCAAGATTGTTCTATCAGTAAAGTAAATCTAAATACTCTGCGATTTTATAATGCATGTTTTCACTACAACTTTACTTAGTTGACCACAGAAAATTGCTCCAAAACAAAAAACGTTAAAGAACTCCAGACAGTAGAAAATGCGACCCTTGCAGTGGGGCTGCCCTTGCACTGCAAGGGTTAAGTGCTTTTTTTCATGTAAGGTCTAAAATAACAAAGAAATGCTCACCAGAATCTCAGAATCGGGCAGTTGCTAGACCAGTCCCCGCAGCCTCCCTCTCCCTCCACTCTGGCGATGGAATGTCCCTAGACATCCTCACATATTGGAAGTGACAGACTGCCAGTGTGAAGGGAAAGAAAGGCTGCAGGGACCCGATCTAGCAGCCAGATGGGTCATAGATTCGGGTGAGTATTTTTTTTTAGATGAGACTAAAATGAGGCTACGGCCGTACTGCAAGGCTTATGTTCTCTACTACCCAGAATTCTTACAGTTTTAGACATACATGTGGATCCCAAATACATGATCAAGTTACAGGGAAACACACCCACACACCACACACCATGCAGTTGGACTGAGCTGGACAGACTTCAGAATTCACTTGCAAAGCCACCTACTAAAGAATCTGAGGTTGCAGCCTGTATGATCATAATGGTCGTTATTACTGTAGTTTAGCTAAACTTTGTCTGTTACAGACCTAAATGAACACAAATGTGTGATAGTTCAAAAGTGTACTTTCCTTTTAAATTACAATAGTCGATTGGTACTTACATTCCACTCTCCAGCTGAGGGCCAACTTTCTCATACATTTTAATTAATCGGCTGCAGTTGTACAAAAACATGCCATCCAGCTCTCGCTGCTCAATATTCACACCGAATATAAAGTTCAGCTCCTTTGGCTCCTTTAGGGCCCTACAGGATTAGATATACATTTATTGCCACCAAATACACAATTATGTCAAAAACATTAGCCTCATCTGTGGAAAGGTTTAAACTAGACATGCTCATGTAATACACAACCCTAATAAACACATGAATTACAGTAATAAAACAATAATGAAACTACAAATGACAATAGACATAAGCTAATTAGAAGTTTCACTCTGATTAGTAGCACTATATTTCAGCACAACGGTTGTAATAAAATCACTAGAAAGGTTATCAAAAGTCCAGCCTAACAATGTGCTGATTCCAGATTCTTTTTTTGACCTTGTATTGCACAGGGTTTCACCATACCTTGTGAAAGCAAAAAACACGGGCTTGCATTGCCCACATAAAGAAAATAAGGACAACAGTAAAAATCAATCCAGCCTTCTGTGCTCCATGCAAAAAGAAAATTGGTAGAGCAGTATGCAAGCTGAATTGAAGATCATCTGCTTTTGCCTCCTCGTAGAAGCGATGGAATAAACATTGAAAAAAAAACAACAATCTGTGAGGTGGCAGAAGAGCTCTAGATGAAAACTGCTCAAAATGTAGCTCCATGTGAGGGTCACTGTAGAAAAGAATTGTGTTTATTGGTCAATGCAACACAAGCAGGGCTTAAATATTGCAATATTATCAATACTATTAGGGACAAGGACAGAGGGGAAAAACTGGAAAGAAATGGAGAGGACTAAATAAGAGAAAATTTAAGGAGCTGGACAACTTGTACTCACAAGAAAACGTTAAGTGACTCTAAACTACTCAGGGGGTTAAACCTTAATGCATTCAAGTTCCTTAACTAGTAACAAAAACATATCTTATTTGTGTATCACTCAAATCTATATATAATTTCCTTGTCTGACCACCGTAGACTCGTGGTCAGGCAAGGAAATTTAATGCAGCAGATGAAAGACACATTATGTTTACTTCCGTTCGACATCGGAAGATGTTCAGCAGTGCCAACAGCACCCAACTGGAGGAAACCAGTGGGACCCAGACACACCCATCTACTGTCCAGAGAAGTTTGGTCAAAAAAGTTGTGGCCAAAAAGCCATACCGCCGACGTGGAAACAAGGCTAAGCGACTCAATTATGCACAAAAACATAGAAACTGGGCTGCAGAAAAATGGCAGCAGGTGCTTCGGACTGAGGAGTCAAAATAATAAATATTTGGCTGTAGCAGGAGGTAGTTTCGTCCGAAGGGCTGGAGAGAGGTACAATAATGAGTGTCTGCAGCAACAGTAAAGCATGATGGAGGTTCCTTGCAAGTCTGGGGCTGCATTTCTGCCAATGGAGTTGGAGATTTGGTCAGGATCAATGGTTTCCTCAATGCTAAGAAATACAAGCAGATACTTATCCAGCATGCCATACCATCAGGGAGGTGAGTGATTTGCCCCAAATGTATTCTGCAGCAGGACAACGACCCCAAACATACAGCCAATGTCATTAAGAACTATCTTCAGCGTAAAGAAGAACAAGGAGTCCTGGAAGTGATGGTTTGGCCCCCACAGAGCCATGATCTCAACATCATTGAGTCTGTCTGGGATTACATGTAGAGACAGAAGGATTGGAGGCAGCCGACATCCACAGAAGATCTGTGGTTACTTCTCCAAGATGTTTGGAACAACCTACCTGACGAGTTCCTTCAAAAACTGTGTGCAAGTGTACCTAGAAGAATTGATGCTGTTTTGAAGGCAAAGGGTGGTCACACCACATCATGATTTGATTTGGATTTCTCTTCTGTTCATTTACTTTCTATTTTGTTAATTGATAAACATAAAATATTTAACACTCTAATTTCGGAAAGCATTTTTACGTTACAGCATTTCTTACACCTGCCTAAAACCTTTGCACAGTACTGTACATATATACAAGCTATATAGGCCATATAAGCCTATTTTTTGTGAGTTGTATTATTTGGACCACATTCAATTAGCAATCTAATTATCATATTTTCTATAATAACCTTTGCTTAGCTTCCTTAATTCGTTTCTTGACATCTGCCTCCCGACGGATTGTAATTGCAGCATTCTGCACTTGTCTTAGAGAAGCCTAGAAAAAAAGAAAGAATATTAAAACCTTTGTTTATATCTTTAACAAAAGCAAGCACATAACTACTGATTTAACTCCTTCCTGACCGATGACATTCGTTCAGTTCGTTAACGACCGGTGATGGGATTATTCCATCAAATCGATACAAAGACTGATGGTCCGTGAAGTGACCAGCAGCTCATTTAGTTACTGCTGTTGCTGGGTTCCTCAGGTATCTGAGGCAGACCCTCAACAGCAGATTAGGTGGTCACAGTCTGTGATCGCAGAGCCGTGGCAGTCACACAACCGGCAGCTGCTCATTATGTTGTGTAAACAGCTAGCCAGCTGTGTGTACAAACTGATACAAAGTATATCTGAGAATACCGTATTCTCCTCAGATATATTAAGTATCAAAGCACCTGTAAATAAAACAAAAATACCACTTAGTACCTTCTAGTTTAACCACTTGCTGTCTGGGCCATTTTCTTACTATTTGCGCACACATGATAAAATATAAATTTTTGGCTAGAAAACAGCTTCAGACCCCCAAACAATGATATATGTCCTGAAAGCAGAGGCCCTGTAGAATAAAAAAAGCTAGTTACAATTTTTTATGGTTTTTGCGCAAATGTTTATCAAACCAGTATTTTTAGGAAAAATAAACAAAATGAAAATTTAGTGCACAGAAAGAGAATACCCAATTTTTTGGTAAAATATGGAAGACGGGATCACGCCGGGTAAAAAGATACCAAACTTGTCAAAGCCGCAAAAAAAGTAAATACCTAAAATTTCCCATAGGGAACATTTTAAACGCTTTTACCGCTCATCAGTTTAGTGCTTAGTGATTAATGGCACTACAATTATTGCTCTCACTCCGACGTTCGCGGCGATATGTAACGTGTAGCGCAATTGTCATTTTTGCACGTAGACGCACAGACGCATGTTTGCGGGTGTATGTGTGTGCACGTTGGCGGCGGGGGACTTAAAAACATTTTTTTAAATTTTTCTTATATGTTACTTTAATTTTTTTACTTTTTTTTTTTACACTAACCCTATTGCTATCACATAGGGGAGCCAACAAGCACCCTATGTAATAGCAGATAGGGTGTGACAGGTCCTCTTTATGGAGACATCAGGGGTCTTTCAGACCCCTGTCCCCTAGGGACCCCAAAGAAGAAGAGATCTGCTTCCCCAGCTTCATCTCCTGGCTCTAAGAGACGGAGACTGTAAGAGTGACACCAGAAGTAATGTAATACACATCACTTCCGGGCCCAGTGATTGGAGGAGAGATTCAGCCGCTGAATCTCTCTCCGATCACTGCGGGGAAACCCGCCACACAGGGACAGCGGTGCCCGGGGAAGCCAACGGCGTGTGCGGGAGCCGTACGGCACAAACGATCCGGCGGCTGTACAGATGCCGGATTGCTTGTACATTAACAGCAATCACCTTCTGTTAAAAGCGGTACCAAGAACACGCCTGCTGCTGCAGCAGCGCTGTTCTTGTTTTAACCACTTTGCGGGCGCACGAAATTTTAAAGCTTGATATGTTTGGGGTCTATATACTCGACGGGATCCTGTCTTTTATATTTTACCAAAAATATGGGTAAGAATAAAATGTTTTTTTAACAAAACTTATGGAAACGGGTTTTGTTTTTTTGAAAAATTTCCGGTACTTTTTTCATTATATAGTCAAAAATAAAACCCCAGTGGTGATCAAATACCACCAAAAGAAAGCTCCATCTGTCCCCAAAAAAATTGTATCAAATTCATTTCTGTACAGCGTTGCATGACGGAATAAATGTCAGTCAAAGTACTGCAGCGCTGAATAATGAAAAATGGCCTGGCCAGGAAGGGTCTTGAGTGGTTAAAATGTATTTATGAACTGAATCTATGTACTATGTTCCTTAATCAAGGAAGGAAAAAGTGTGTGCCCCAGGCACCTAGATGAGTATCACCAATATCTGACTGCAGGATAGCTTTCATGAGGGCTGCCGTTCTGTACTGAGTGAAAACTAGTCATCAGCAACAGTTTTACTCAGTAAGCCAGAGCAGAAACAAAGAGGAGAGCTCCCCCTGTGGCCAGCTTGTGAAATACAGTATAACAAGTCACCATGGCAACACCTCACAGGCCTTTGAAATGTAGAGGCCACTTGTGACTGGAAGAGTCAGAAACATCAGTGACACCAATGTAAATCAAATATATCACAAGTTTCGGGGGAAAAAAACAAGTAGTGAGTAGCAAAGTAAAATATTCACTTTCACACAGTGCCCAGCTAATGATAGTTTGTTCTGACAATTCTGCCTCAGACAGAGTCAGACACAATAATACTCACGACCCTGACTGGTGTAAGGTAAAAATATGAGGTACTATCTGCTGCCGACAGCATAATGTTTGAAGATTGGCAGTGCAATATAAAAAGAAAAAAAAAAAAAAAATCGGACTGCTTATGCTCGCACATGCGCTGTAGATAAAAACAAGGGCATCATCGAATCAAAGAAACCGAAAATAAAAATCAGTCAAACTCCATATAAAAGCATTTAGCCAAACAGGAGTCTAAAGGCACACCGCCAAATTAAATAAAAAGGGAAGGAAAACACCCAACCTTATATACATGAGGTATATACATTTTTTTCTACTCAACTCCACTATCCTGTTCCCAACATAACTGGAATCCCCAAGTTAATACTGAGACCAGAGAATACCTGCTTCATGACACAGGTCGTCCTCTGGTCTCCGCAGGACGAGTCATAAGTACTAAGACCAGAGACTTCGTGACCACTGCAGGACGAGTCATATGTTCAGAGACAACCGGCTTCTACTGAGACCAGAGAATAACATGGGTACAAAAAATGAAAAAAAGGCCTCAGTCATGAAGGGGTTAACATTATCTGGTATGAATCATCTAGCAGCCCTTGGTAGTAGAAACTCTTCGAAGAAATAAAACCAACTAAAATAATAAGGCAGAAGAGAAAAGACACATACATTCTCCTGAGGACACCAAGTGAAACTGGCAGGTGTGAGGTGGGAGGGGTTATGTCCTTAACCACCTCCTGTCCACCGAACGTAGAGAAACAGCCTCCTGACAGCGGGTGGTTGTCTTTAATGTCCCTCGTGCCCGCTGGTGCGCACGAGTGGGAAACTGCCAAAATGTGAAACAGCCAGTGATGGATGTTTACATACAAGCAGTCCGGCATCTGTAAAGACGCCTGATCGCTTGTATGTGGTACCTTTGTGAGCTCCCCCCTCTCCTTACCTGCCGTCGCCACGATCCCGGGCGTCCGATCCGGGACAGGAATTGTGGATTCGTTCAGGGAGACCAGAGGGAGATCAGTACACGATCTCCTCCCCGTTCTGTGAATGCAGGAAGTGATGTTGAACACTTCAAGCTGAACAGTAAAAAGGGCAGGAATTTAAGAGGAAAATGAAACCCAACGGATAAAATTGTGATGCAGTTCCCTTAATGGGGTATGGCTGGGGGGGACCAATACTTTACGAATTTAGAAAAAAGCTAAAATAAATCCCCAAAATGTTCTTTTTTAAAAGTTTATACCACTTAAACCTTTTATATTTCATTAATTAGATAAAATCGTTCTTTTACAAATACACATTCAGAATCCAACACAAAATTATTTTGAAATAACACAAAGGAAGTGGTTTGTTTTCAGATTCTCTGTTGCTGTAATTGAGACTCATGCTTTATGCCTTACCCTTGATTCTCGAGACAAGTCCTCTCCAAGTCGAGACTCCATGGCTCGTGCTTTGCTCTCCGCTTCCCGTGCCTTTTCCTCCGCTAAAAAAAAAACAAAAAACATTTTGACAGTGGCATTTTGTATGTTATACCTAGAAATGTAACTTCTGTTCCAAGACTCTAAGGCACTAACTATACTTTATTATTTTGTTGCAGAGTTAGAAAATGCAAGTCACGAAAACAAATTTTAATAAATAATTTAAAAAATCTAAAGACATTAGAAATCCACTATAAGCAAAGATGGGTCTTATCCTTTCCTTTAGAAATATTTAGAAGATAAGAATTCTCCTGTTGGATACTAACTGCTGTAGTCACTCAGAGATGTTTCAACAAACTACTGGATGTTGGGCATAGATAATATCTTTTCATAGATAATAGGCACAGAGAGGAATTGATCAAAACTGGAGCATCTGTCCATGGCAACCAATCAGCTTCTCTCTTTCATTATCAAAATCTTACCTGAACAAACTGAAGACAGCAGCTGACTGGTTGCCCTGGGCAACTGCTCCAGGTTTTGCCTGCTCTAGTTTTGATATATTTCCCCCACTATGCCTAAGACCCCATTCACATGTAGCGACATACCTTTGCAGCGGCCGGGATAGCGCGACTTTCGGGGCGACGGTAGCGCGACCTTCTCCGTCGAGCTCCATAGAAAAAAAGCAAAATCAGCCAAAAAAAGGGTCCTGTAGAAGCGACTTGCGACCGAGACAACGGTAGCAGACAGCTCCATTGACTATCATTAGCCGGCGACTTCTCGCGATATCGCGCGGCAAAAATGCGCGATAAGTCGCTACATGTGAATGGGGCCTTACATAAGCCATAGCAGCCTGCTACTGAAGCAAAAGTACCAGCTTGTCATGACAAGAGAAATGTACAGAGTCTTGGCCTTAAAAGTGGAACCTGTACCACCACCCTCCAGCACAAATGTGAAAAACCTATTTAAAGCTGAAATCTGGGCGAAACTAATTGCAACTAAATACCAGAGGCTTGTATATTCTTATATGCATTTTGCTATCCCTTGTATGTGTATTCCAGATCTGTGCAATAATCCAGCATGAAACCAAAAAGACTAGTCACTGCTGCTCCTCTTCTTGTGCAGAATGACTCATAATTTTCTGTGGGCAGCCGGCACTGGGAAGATCTGTTAAACCCCCTATAGCACAGGCTATCTGCAGCACTGTTACTTTTACAAGGTAATATCTGGGTTTGCAAAGGCATTTGGTAAACAAAATAGATGTATATCTTTTTTGGGTATTGAAGAATATATTTAAAACGAAAATATTTGCCTCTGGAGTTCAGCTTAAGGGCCTGTTCACATGAGATCAGGTCCTGATCAGGTGCTGATCAGCAGACGTGGAGCTGCTGATGCAGTGCGTTTGACGTGTTTTTGATGCGTTTTCGGTCCAGATGCTGACAGTTAATTTTTTGTCAACGTTGATGACATCATTATAAGTGGAGCAAGAATACAATTTTTTCTTTTTTTCCCCCTTAGCTGCATTGCGTTGCGTTTCCGTTAAGTTTTCATTGCGTTTCGTGCGCGTTCGTGCGTTTCCGGACTGGACAAAATGTGACATGCAGTATTTTTTCTGTCGTAAGCTGAACGGACTGCGCACGTGAGAACTGGAGCCCATAAAACACATAGGGATACATTGGGATGCATTTTGAGTGCAGCAGCGTACGGAGCCGGTCAGCACACAAAACAGACGTCGTGTGAACAGGCCCTTAACAATAAAATCAAAAAATATATATGATCAAAGTATATTTAAACCCAAAGAACAGAAATTTCATATATTTAAATTTAAAAGTCTTCAAATGTGGTGGCTGCATTCATTTAGATTAAATACAAAAATAAATACTTTTTGATCTTGCCAGAAATGGATTGTCCTTGTAACTTCCTGTGGACTGAGCTGAACTCTCAAGCAATATTATCAGTTTTCTCAGCCAGCAACAATCCTCTACGGACTGGAAATGACGAGTGGAGGATGTGTTTGCAGTGCAAATAACAAGAGCAGCCTTGGGTGACAACACTGCTGCGCCACAGATACAGTACACCGATTGAACATGGTTACCCTAGGACAGTGTGTTATACACAGAATTACCGGGTAAAAATAAAAAGGAAAAAAGGCAGCTGAATGAAGCCATCACATCCAAGGGCTTGTAAGCTGCATTTTATGAAATGTTTGTTCCTGTGTTTAGATATACAGTCGTGGCCAAAAGATTTGAGAATGACACAAATATTAATTTTCACAAAGTCTGCTGCTTCAGTGTTTTAAGATCTTCTTGTCAGATGTTACTATGATATACTGATGTATAATTACAAGCATTTCATAAGTGTCAAAGGCTTTTATTGACAATTACATTAAGTTTATGCAAAGAGTCGATAATTGCAGTGTTGACCCTTCTTATCCAAGACCTCTGCAGTTCGCCCTGGCATGCTGTCAATCAACATCTGGGCCACAACCTGACTGATGGCAGCTCATTCTTACATAATCAATGCTTGGAGTTTGTCAGAATTTGTGAGGTTTTTTGTTCACCCGCCTCTTGAGGATTGACTACAAGTTCTCAATGGGATTAAGGTCTGGGGAGTTTACTGGCCATGGACCCAAAATTGTGATGTTTTGTTCCCCAAGCCACTTAGTTATCACTTTTGCCTTATGGCAAGGTGCTCCATCATGCTGGAAAAGGCATTGTTCGTCACCAAACTGTTCTTGAATGGTTGGGAGAAGTTGCTCTTGGAGGATGTTTTTGTACCATTCTTTATTCATGGCTGTGCTCTTAGGCAAAATTGTGAGTGAGCCCGCTCCCTTGGCTGTGAAGCAGCCCCACACATGAATGGTCTCAGGATGCTTTACTGATGGCATGACACAGGACTGATGGTAGCGCTCACCTTTTCTACTCTGGACAAGGTATTTTCCGGATGCCCCAAACAAACAATCGGAAAGGGGATTCATCAGAGAAAATGACTTTACCCCAGTCCTCAGCAGTCCAATCCCTGTACCTTTTGCAGAATATCAGTCTGTCCCTGATGTTTTTCCTGGAGAGAAGTGGCTTCTTTGCTGCCCTTCTTGACACCAGGTCATCCTCCAAAAGTCTTCGCCTCACTGTGCGTGCAGATGCACTCACACCTGCCTTCTGCCATTCCCGAGAAAGCTTTAGGAGACGGTCCTGGCGCTTGTTGGACTTTCTTGGGCAACCCTGAAGCCTTCTTCACAACAATTGAACCTCTCTCCTTGAAGTTCTTGATGATCCGATAAATGGTTGATTTAGGTGCAATCTTAGTAGCAGCAATATCCTTGCCTGTGAATCCCTTTTTGTGCAAAGCAATGATGACTGCACGTGTTTCCTTGCAGGTAACCATGGTTAACAGAGGAAGAACAATGATTTCCAGCACCACCCTTCTCCCAAAGCTTTCAATCTGTTATTCTAACTTAATAAGCATGACAGAGTGGTCTCCAGCCTTGTCCTCGTCAACACTGACACCTGTGTTAACAAGAGAATCACTGACATGATGTCAGATGGTCCTTTTGTGACAGGGCTGAAATGCAGTAGAAATTTTTTGGGGGGGATTAAGTTCATTTTCATGGCAAAGAGGCACTTGCAATTAATCTGATCACTCTTCATAACATTCTGGAGTATGTGCAAATTGCCATCATACAAACTGAAGTAGCAGACTTTGTGAAAATTCATATTTTTGTAATTCACAAAACTTTTGGCCATGACTGTACTTTAACTATTCAACCACCCTTCCCCTCATTACCAATTTTGGCCATATGTTCTGCTTTCTTCACTTCTTGCTCAGCCCGCGTTTTAAATCGATTTGACGTATACCTGTACATTCTAAAAATTAAGAAGTACTTGTTCAGAATTGTGTATTCAATACAAACATTATACAGAAAACTTTGTTTATTGTGTAAAATACATGATAAGCAAAATTATTTTAATTTTTTTTAACTCCTATTAGCATAAGTTTAAAAGTGAAACATCTCAAAGAAGACAAAGCTGGATAAATCTCAAGTTTTCAGAAGCCAATTAACCTGAAGAAACAACAGCTGGTATATTTTGTACGGTTGCTATTGAAGGAAGCAAACAATCCCCAGCTACTTTAAAGTGCCTGTTCAGAGCAGGTTATATACAAATATAATCATATATTGTAGCTATTTTCAGTCTATTCTAATATGCAGAATGTTAAAAACTAAGTTACTTTTACCTGGGCTTGTAAAGGCAACAAGATAGCCGTTTTGTTTGAACCTTTTGGTAATCAATGAAGATTCTCATCCTTGGATCAATATAAAGGACAGCTGCATATGCCCGAAATGAACGCCGCTCAGGTTTCCTATGAAAAAAAAACATACTTTTAAAGTGCAAAAAAAATAAAATAATATCTATTATATTTAGATGTTAAAAAACAAACACATTTGGGTACAAGAATATGGAAGCAAGCAAGTTACATCAAGGTTAGTTTTTGTTGCTTTTCTGCACACTTGTCAATTGGTCAGTCCTGTTCTCCACAAGGTCCTACTACTGTGCAAGAAAAAAAAATTAAAATTGTGCACAGGAATTCTGACTAACAGAAAAGCTGTTAGGCAAGAAAGTTAAACTAAGTGGAGGATAATTCAGTAAAGGATGACTAATAATTCAGAGAACCAAAAAGACAGCACAAAAGCTTCCCTCGATCGCTGGCACTTCCATCTTCACCTGGTCTGCTTCAGAGTTTGGAGTCTTCACTTGACAGGCCATGCAGGGATAACAACACCTGCACATGTAAGTTACTGTGTCCCGACACAGAATTATGCTGAGACTATACACTGAGCAAAGAAAGTAATATTATTTGTCAAGGCATGCGATTTCAAAGTCTTATGTTGTTGTATATATTGGGCTAGAGACTCATGTGCCAAGGCAAAAAGAAAGGGAGACAGTGGGCACTCTTGATGCATGCTCCTATGAATCTCCAAGTGGCAAGATTGGATCATACAGTATTATGGCCCTTGGGGTTGCATAGATAGCCAGTGACCACGTAAGGAATTTTTCTGTGAATCCCCACCTATGGAGTGTACAAAACATAAATGGCCACGACATAATGTCACGTTTTAAAGATATAAAAACTTATCTGTCCTGGAAATCGCGGAAAAAAAATGGCACATTTAGTACTTGAGCAAGGAATGCATAATTTGCAGGTATTTTTCCAATGTCCAACTTACATTCCTTCTGGAGTTGTCCCAGCCATCTGAATGTCTTTTGGGTCAGAAACTACATCAAGTTCTGGTTCTCCAGAGTCTGTTAGCTTCAAGTTGAAAATAACAACAAGAGTACCTAGGACAGAACAATAGCACATTGTTTATTTAAACCCACAACCAGTGTTAGTTTTGACAGAAAATTTCAATTTAGTTTTAGTCATATTTTAGTCATCCTAATTGTTTTGGTTTTAGTCGACTAAATATCATAAGATTCTAGTCGACTAAAGTAAATCTACAGTAGATTGAATACTAAAATCTAGTGGGTTTAGTTAAAGTGTAATTTAAGAATTTCTTTAGAATTTCCAATCTCATTATATACTCCTGGAGTAAACATCTGTTAACCAGTTATTACGTATGGTATTAAGGTTTGAACATGCAATACAGACCCATATTTAACTGTTGTGATATATAACATGTCTTTATTTATCTTAAAATGAGATTGAACCAAGTCTTATAAAGTAGGGCTGCAACAACTAATCAATGTAATCAATAATAATCAATAAATCATTGTCAATTCTCAATATCAATTAGTTGATTTTCGATTAGTTGTTGTCGCCACCATCACTCTGCTCCACCTTTCTCCTCCTCACTGGGAGCCGCGGTCTGTGCCTCCTTCGATCAGGGGACACAGAGCACTACAGCCGTTGCCCAGTGGGGAGTAGAGAGCTCTGTGCAACTGCATTCCCCCGCTACTGCCCTTGATCCTGCGCTGCTGCCCGCGATCCTTCTATGCTTCCTCTGCTGCCTGCAGTACAAAGCCAGCGTCAAGTCTACCATCCAGCAGCCGGGAGAAACTATATCTTTCCACTTCACAGTGGAATGAAAGCTGCCTGCAGAGGAAGCTGAATGTAAACATACCAGAGTGGCTGGGAGCAATAGCCAGCCTGCTATTGGCTATTTTAAATTGCAGTAGCCATTAGCAGGCTGGCTATTGTAGCCGCCAACCAGCAGAGGAGGACCTGGAGGAGAACTTTCTCCTTCAGTTCCCTCCTCTGCTGAGAGCATTAATTCTGGGGCCAATATTTAGAGGCCAAGAATTAGGGCCTTTAAACTGATGACTGGGCGCACACACGCCAGATTATTATGACCACCTCATGAGTACTTAATTTCCTGGAACACCTGAATCCAATTAATTGGAGGTGTGACCCAATACTTTTGGCAATATAGTGTATGTGTGTAAGCATTTTCTGTCCAATTTTGGTGTGTTATTTTAAATAAAAGGTTGGTTATTTTATTATATTGGCTTGGAGTTGTACAATTCAGATTATTTTAAATCCATGAAACTAATTAAACTGTCTAATATAATACATACAATTATTTAAAAACATATATAAAAAAAAAAGGTGGGAAAAGTTATTTATGTTATCGGCCTGACAAATTCTGCTGTGGCTTTGCGTTGTGGTGCCATTCATTTCAATAGCACCCCAATCGCGCCTCCCCCTGCAGTGTGATCGTCCGGCACTGGAACGTGTCGTATTGCCGTGTGTTCCAGTGCGGTGCGATTGCAAAAATTTGCGTGCAGTTTTATCCTGAATTATACTTTGTTTGTAACACTATTTGTGTATTTCATTTAAAATAAAACATGGTTTTTAATCTTTTTAAATTGGAAAAAAAAACAAAAAACGGCCAGCTACTCGAAAACCAATAGTTGGTTGCAACAATTTTATAAAAGAAACAATATTGAGTATTTTCAACATAGGACAAGAAATTAAATATGCATTGATTATAACAGCTTTCAGATGGCATTCTTCATTCTTTCAATCAGAAGTGCATCTCTAAAATATTAAAAATGAAAAACTATACTGGCTGTAATGCCATTGCACATAATACCTATTAGCCGTCCATTCAGGTTGGAACCGGAAGTCCAAAGAGAGTAGCTCTGATTGGATCTCTTCCCAAATCGTCTCTCCTTAACATCTTAGTCTAGTTTTAGTTAATCGACTAAAATGTCATATTTTCTTTATAGTTTTAGTCATTATAACTTAGTTTTTTTTTTAGTTTTAGTCACTGAAAAAGTGTTGATGAAATTTATTAGGTCGATGGAAATAACACAGCCCGCGACATAGTACAAATCAAATTATTAATTCATAAAATCACTCTAATTCCTCTATATTTGTACCTGACTCTCCAGTTATCTTCCTGAATTGCTCCATAACTTCCTTCTGAGAGTGAAATGGAGAGTACTTGTAAATAAGCTCTGTCTCAATGGCAAATTTCTCCATATTATCGGTCAAGGGTTCACATGTTTTGGAATTCCACGTAGGAAGAGGAACTATAACCTTTAAAAAAGGTTGGGGGGGGAAAAAATAATTTAGCATGTTATTATTGGAAGGCATGTGATATCCATCAAATGTTTAATTCACGTTCCTTAACCCCCTTTATTCCCACAATCCTTATATTAATGTTCTTAAACATTACAGCCTGTGCTAAGGATACTACCATCCTAAATGTCCTGCCTTTGAGAGTCCGAAGCTGTCAATGACAGCTCCGGCCCCCTAACTACTGATCAGAGTGGTTCTCGATCTTGTGATTGCTGTCAGCTATGGATACTTCATTGACAAAAAAAATTGTCAAAATTTACATTGATGGCACTGCAGATCCCACAGCAGCCCGAGGGTGGCAGTGTGCATCAGTTTAGTACAAGAATTGTGAGGTATAATTACAGTTTTAAAAATAAAAAACAAATATTTTTACTCACTTGCCAGGGTACAATAAAGAACAAAGCAAGTTTAAAAAAAAAAAAAAATTAAAACAGTGCACCAAATAAAAGCCTCATAAAAATCTAAAATTTAGCTAGAGTTTCTGTCAAGTTAAACAAAGCTTGCTGATTTTGCTAAATGTGGCCCTGGATATCTAGGAATCAATTATTTCTGGTCACAAATGGGTTAAGGTAGACCTGTCATGAGAGAAGGAGTCAGCCTCCATTTCCCCTCGCAAGAAGGTTTTCTTTAAAACATTACAAGGTAAAACAAAAATTTGAATATATAATTGAAAATGAATTTTGGAAACTCATTAACAAGCAAAGCTTATAAGAGACCGTAGCAATTGTGTTTTCGTATAATTTAATCATAGCGTTCATATTACTTTCTCAGGTGTGTGACAGCTTTTCTTTAACTTTGCCTTCAAAAAACTTAAATTGTTTATGAAGCTTTTTATTGTAATATATAAGAAGAAACTTAAAAACTGAGAACTCTGATTAGAATATTGTTATTGCTTATGTCTACAAACCTCATCAATTCCTTCTTCTTCATGAAACGTGCGTGACATAAATAAACATGTCATTGTATCGGCCTTCTTTGTAAAAAGTATGAAATCTTTTCCAATCCTCATAGAGCCACTAAAACAGAATCAAATTAAGCAGTCCAATAGAGCATGCAATAAAGAGGGAAAATATGAACATTAAATATAAAACATAGCATCCAGAAATCAAACTATTCTTTCACATTTGATATTAATTGTTTCACTGGAATACAACAAAAAAGTATAATATAAAAGTATTTAATACCATTCTCCTGTGGTAACTTAACATTCTTTACTATTTTTCAAATATATTGTGCATGTGTGCAGTGTAATAGTATTAACATTAGTTTAATGCATAATCCATTTGCAATTCTCTCATTTAGAAAAGAAAAAAAAAAAAAAACCAACAACAGGTCAAGCTCTTATTGTCAGTTTTCTGCAAAAACCTACGGAGAGGGGACCAAATAAACAAACAAAAATGTTTTTAAAAAACAAAAATGTTTACAGCAAATCAAAAACTGTAAAATCAGGATTTTTTTTAACTTAATGTAAAATTATTTTCTTGGAGTCCATCGAGACACAGGAGGTCTTTCACCTTCGAGTTATACTTCTGCCTACAAGAGTATTGACAATGGCAAACAATAAAACCATAGGTCAGCTCAGGATAACCCCTCCAACTACCATAATTCCTCAGTTTTGTAGTAAAGCACAGTCAGAGCGTGGACATAAACACGCCTGCGTCCTCAAATGGACTTTTAAAAAAAAAAATACACAGAGTACAAAATTCTTATTTATTATTTTCTTTGAGGGACAGAGAAAGTCTTACAACTTCGGGTTGTTTAAAAGAAGTCCAACTGAAGATCAGAGAAGGCCGGGAAGTCCACCTGGTAGAACTTGGAGAATGAACAAAAGACCAGGTGGCAGCCTTGCAAATCTAGGATAATAAATCTGTTGTTATGTGCACTAGAAATCAGAGATGCGACAGTTTAAAAAAAGACGCTGATGATGCAACCAAATAGCTACATTCCCCTCAATGTGTGTTTGTGAACTACTATAAATTGTATGGTGTAAAATAGTTTAAAAATATAGGACGTCGGAACGTACGACAGCAGAAGCGATCTGGCGACAGGTAAGTCGCCAGGATCGCTTCTGTTGTAAAGCCGACAGTCGGCTCTACAAGTTTAAACAGAGTCCCGGCGGCAAAAGTCACCGGGAGTCTGTTTAAACAGCCCCGATGCTGGCGACGTACACTGTACGTCGTCAGTCACGAAGGGGTTAAGGAAAACTCTTAATTTTACTTTACTTCCAAAACAATTCACACAAGTGCTCACATTATTTTATTACTCACTTGGATCCATGCCTGTTCCATCATCAAGAAAACAAAGCATAAACCCCCCTCTAAGTTCTTTTCTTGGCTCTGTAATAATAATTAAAAATAAATATGTTAGCATGCTCAATGTGTACATTCTTTAGTGTGCATACCCATTCAGGATCTACGATCTGTTGCCCTGTGTCCTTCAATGAACGGGAGAGAAAAATATATATACATTTATTTAAATGCAGAAGTGGCTCTTGTGGACACAATGCTGTAAAGCAGGAATACTTTAGATATAGCCTGGCCAATGTTGAGGTGTGGGTTTTTTTCTTTTTGGATCCATACAATCTGTTCTAGAATTCCTTGTTCTTCCTTTTGCTGAAGATTTTTCTTTATGATTTTGGCGTTGCGTTTGGTTGTCATCCTCATGCTGCAGAATGAAGTTAGATTTGACCAGATGCCTCACTGATGGTAATACTCTGTCTGTACTTCAGTAGTGAGGATAGCATCATCAACTTTGACCAAACCACATTTGCAAAAATGCAGCCCCAAACCTGCCCCATGCTTCACAGTTGTGTGCAGACAACCATTTATGCCACGAGCCAACCGAAATCTACCACCTAAACACTAAGCAATCTTGTGGATACTTCATCCTTGTGTAACATGTCAGAAAGCCTTGCCATCATTTGCAAAAGCCTTTCTTTTTTTTTTTTTAAATTTGTATTAGTTTATTTGCATGTAACAGAACAATGCAGGAATAACAAAAAGGCAATATGTTGTTAATAGAGGTCGTAATTGTCAAAACCAAAAAATACGTCCAAGTTAAGCAGAACATTACCCTCGGTTGCATCCTTTTTTTCTTTTAAAACAGGGAGAATAAGATCAATGAGCTACCATTTTCTATACAGCTCCATAGGAAAGAAACAAAATTAGAGGAGGTCTAAAGCATCTAATAGGTTTGTTATTTCCAACACATAAAAGATGAGCAATGAAAACAAAAGTAAAAGATACATCCATAATCCAGTACCAGTTACAGATAGGTTGGATAAGCCAATCTTGATGATTTATCTGTCAGTAATCCAAACTGGGAGCAAAACACAGAGAAACTCAAAAGGAACATTTCCCAAGGCAAGGAAATGGGTGCCAGCACAGGTGGTGACAGTTGGAGAAGGAACCCCCTTAGGGTCCATGTATTGTGGAAGCGCTCTTCAGTGTTATGCAGGGCAGAAGTCAGATCTTCCATCTGACAAATCTCCTCCACAGCTTTGTCGATGTGGGTCATGCTTGTTTCCACATTAAAATGATTACAAGATCTAGCTGCTGATTACAAATGTACTGTCAGGGCAATGCCAAAAAATGATAAATGGTTTCAGG